GTCAGTGGAAACTCTCAGGCCCTCATCCGGGCGTATAATGGTGGCCCCAGTCGCCACTGCTACACCCATTCGCTTGCGCAACAAAGGGCCTGATTACTTCCGGCGCCCAGAGGCTTCTGAAGCGGGCCGACCCAGCGCTGTGGAGCGCCTGGAGGCAGACAAGGCAAAATATGTTAAAAGCCATCAAGTGATACGTACCAAACAGGAGCCTGTTTGTGCCCCTGCGAAGCCCATCCGCTCAGCTAGGACCACAAGCCTGCAGACCGTACCCAGCCCACCTATTATAACCCACACCAAAGCTCAGAATAAACCGACACCCCCATTACCCACAATTCCTAGTCCCAAAGTCTCAGCTGTTATCTCACTGGCTCCATCTTCCCAAATGTTACGGCCGCACCCCCACAAGCCACTGGTTTCAACCAATCTACCGCAAGCCGTCACCCGTAAGACTAAACGCCCGGAAACACACAGCGGCTCAGTGCTCAACTTGGAGACCCTCAGCAACCTTATCAATGTGTCTGATACGCCACCACCTTCCACCACCCCCACCCCGACCTCGCCCCTCACTCCAGATGAACTCGTCACAAGTGATTCCCCTTCCACCTTCCCAGGCAGCCTGCCTGGGTTCACTGAGCCAAACTGCACCCCCCCGCTAAGTCTTCCTGTAGTGGCAGTGCGTAGAGTGGACGTGCGCCCCCCACGCCCCCAGGCGCCGCCTCTCCGAGTGCAGAGTCGCATGCTGCAGCACCCACATCCGCACCCCTCTGTCCTGTCGCCACCCCCCGCCTCGCCTGCATCCACCTGCTCACTACAGCGCTCCAAGTCAGACCTGAGCGATCGCTTCTCCCGAGTGCCCGCTGACCTGGAACGATTCTTCAACTATTGTGGCCTGGACCCCAGCGACATGCAGGGCCTGGCGTGGACCGGCTCAGACATTACCTCGCTCTCCCGTCTCCGCAGCGCCAGCGCACCGGGCTCCAAGCATGGCGGCCCACCGCAGGACAGTGACCCGGAGCCTGACGAAGAGGGTCCTCCTAGGAGTCGCGTGCCCTATGGCATGTCGGTCATCGAGAGGAATGCTCGTGTCATCAAGTGGCTCTACGGCTTGCGGCAGACAATGTAACTGTGTCACATTTCTGGGGCAGTTTGACGAAAATGCACCTTCTCTCCTGACACGCAGGCAGCGAAATCACTGCATTTCGGGCCAAGCTAACTCACTGAATTCACACTGTGAGAGAGTAAAATGTTGCTCTAATGTTTGTCTATGTATGTGTGTCTTATTTATAAACATTTCATCAGATGTCAATATAAAAAGATCCAAACACAAGCTGCTGAGATAACGCTATGGTAGAGCATTGCTTTTCATCTCATCTTACTAAGCTAACTTTTCATATTCTGCTGTGACAATGGGGAAATTGAGTAAATAGGTACCGAAGACAAATAAAGGTGGGGCAGGGAGGGGAAGCTGAAATGTTGGTGGCCTCAGTCACCTCTGTTTATTCCACAGCAGTGAAGCAGGAAGATGAGCTTTTCAGAACGATCTTTCCCAATCTTTCCATGACATCCTTGTGACCATGCAGAAAGGCTTTTTTTGTTCTTGTGATTTTTTTTTAAATCTAAATATCTTAAAGATAAGATAGAGTTCTCCTCACTGCATTTTCCATGTGAATTAACTTGTAAATATATCCAGGTGTCCCTGAATATGTTTCTGCTGAATACGTTTCTTTGTTGGATTGGCTGAATAAGGGCCGCACACATTTTGCATTTATATGTAAATAAAGCGTCAAAACCTCACAAAGCTTTGTGGCCCATTATTATTGCTTCTGCCTTGATACAAAGATGAACTTGAAATTACCTTTTACTGTTTGTGCTGTTCTTTGTGTTCATACAGGCTTGTGCTAGCCTGCCCTTGTCATTATGTGCTTGGAATCATGCGTGAGTGCAGCAGGGCTTTTCCAAGCCCTGAGATTCTGTAGGATTTATCTCTGAAAATTGAGAGGCCCTGAAATAAGCCGATCCAGTGTTTTTTTTTACAGAGTGCTGTTTCATTAACATCACACTACTGTGATGTCTCTTTTCACTGCCCAATCATTTAGCACACAATTGTTCAATCACAGCATACCATTTGCATTTAAATGAGGTGATTTCTTGTGCATTGCATGACTAGTAACACGGGGGGAATGTAACCTGCGGGCAGGGTACGAACCTAAGTTTAGTCTCACTTCCTCATGTAGATGAAAAGGTAGTCAGCCCTTACTTCTGTTAGCTCTGAAGTACGTGTTTTCCTCTCTGGGATTATACTCACATGACAGGTTAATGTCATCTACGCCCTCAGGTACAGGCTTGATCCAAGTTACCCATTACTCATGTGACTCACTGACGTCATAGAGAGCGTTGGTGGTGGGTGTGCATACAGAGTGCTGGGGTGGGCTTTACCAAACCACCTGATTCATCTGACCCAGTCTAACATGAAGCTGTGGAAAAAAAAACAATAACCCTCAGTCTAAAGTGAAAAACTGTGAATAAAAAGAAAGCAATAGCTACCTAAACAGTCTTAAACAAAAAACTGGAAAAACTGTGTATTTTTAGCCATTACCTGATAAAATCTCTACCAGGGCATTCTGGGGTTTCCATGAGGAAAATTCCGAAAGAATGCAAGACACCTAATCAGTCATCTCAGCTGATATTAATTGGGCTGTATCACCCAGCACCAGTACACTGTTACAGCATAGATAATAATTTTAACACAATTCTAACAGAACAGCTGTCAACAATCCCAATGAGAAACTGTGTATTTCTATACCTCAATTAGGGAAAAAAACAATTTCCATTTTCCAGGATGTTTGGACAGTAGATTCTTGTTTGCTATCCCTGAGCAACTGTGCCTCTGTTATATAAAATCTACATGAATACTGTTTTTAGATAAGAAGACAGTAGTTTAAATCCTGGCCTATTGAAGGTTTTAATTTATATTTTTATAATTTAATTACTTAAAAAGTAATGTTGGTATTCTGTTGGCTATGAATTATTCATCGGTCTTCGCTCGATTCAGATTTTTGACATTTACTTTGCTAATGATCAATGTGCAACTGCAACAACTTATGAACACTTGCATTGTTAGATAATCGAGGTTGAAACTGTGGAGTGTTGAGCACTTTGTCTTAAAACAAAAATGCTACCCTTTAACATTCATTTTATGTTTTAATACAATTTGTGACTCTGATAAGCTTTCACAATTATTCATCAGTTACGTCCTTAGATCAAATAACATTGGTATATCCTCTGCCCTGTAACCAGGGCTGGACCAGCCATCTGGCACGCCAGCAATTTTCCTGGTGGGTCAATCGGCACGCGGGCCGATAAAATTTATCATGCAGACCCTCCCCCCCAGTTCTGCAAAATGTATCTCTCAGCAAAAGCTATCATTTATCACCCCCCCCCCCCACTTGGTAAAATTTACTGTGGGGCTGTGGGGGACCCAAAAGTCCAGGGCCAATTTTTATTTCCAATCCAGCTCTGCTTGTAATCTGTTATCAAAGGTGGATTTTAACAAACCAACTCATTTAAAAATATTGCCTGAAATGAATCATTCTGCCTAAGAAGGTTTGACTAAGAACTATGTGTACAGATCAGCTTTCAGTATGTGCTTAGAAAGCGGAAATGTTTTTTCACTTACCTAGCCTGCAGTAGGATTCCGACTTTACTTGTGACGTCAAGTAAATGTGTTGAAGTCTTGATATTCAGAAAGTTTATTAGTCAATCCATCTAACATTTCAGTTTAAATTGATTTCCAAGGCTAGATTGAAAACTTCATTTTAAAAAATACCTCTGGGTAGGAACTATTCACGCATGTATACACGCACAAATACAATGCGTTTATCAATGGGGAAATGATTTTCAGTTGAATCACCTCCCCTTAAACTAAATCATTAGTTCTTTAATATGTAATTTCTAACTAAGTACAGGACTGAAGACATTACCATATTGCCAGGTGCTGATGTAATTTCTCTGTGTCTTCTGTGCTTGCCATCTATTCTCTTGCAGGCCTATATTTGAAGATATGCAGCTCATTGGCTCGTAGGGTGTAGGTCGTTCATCATGGGACTGAATAAGAAAGAAACCACTGAAGTAAAAAAACTTAAATTTAGAAATAAAGAACTTAAATTTAAAAATGAGAATGATTTTGTGGCAGACACAAAAAGTGCAAAATATTCCACCTTACTAGGTAATGTTATAGTAAAATAACATCCATCCATTTTCTGAAACTGGTTGTTATACAGGGTCGTGGGGGATCTGGAGCCTGTTCTGGGGGGTTAGGGTGCATAGTGGGGATCAACCCAGGATGGGGTGCCAACCCATTGCAGGGCACACTCACACACCAGTCACCCACACGTGCACACTATGGGAAATTTGGTAACTCCAGTTAGCCTCAGGATGTTTTTGGACTGTGGGGGGAAACTGGAGCACCCGGAGGAAACCCCACGACGACACAGAGGTATGAAGCAACAGTGCTAACCACTGCAACTCCATGCTGCCCCTATTAAAATAACAATAAGAGGGATTTATTTTGAAATTAACAAATTTAGACTCTTCTTCCAAATAATCTATCTTTAATTGACTAAAAAGGCAGTGTTTCAAGAAACCTTAAATTACTACATTTGACTATTTATTACCTCTGGTCTGTTGTTTCAAACAATATATTTAACTGATATACGTATTCATTTAGGAAATGTTTACAAAATTAGTTTTACAGTTCATGATATCTTTTTCATTTGCATGCGCCAAAAACATACTGCGGATCTCATATCTAAAGTGAAACTGCGCTATTGTCAATAAAAGAGCAAATGAACAGTTTGGGGAAATTTGTGATGAAGAAACGAAATGTAAGAAATCCATCGATAAATATTATTTGATACTTGTTACATTAACATTGTTTTTTTCCTTTTAGAAATCTCTGAACTTAAATACAATTTCGACAAAAGTGCGGAACTAAAGTTTGACTACTCTGGTAGCAGCAGACGGAGGAGCGGACGGAGCGCATTTGCAGCGTCATTTCGAGATGGCGGATCGTGCAGAGGCTGTGAGGGAGTTTGTTACTGTGACTGATGTAGACGAGGAAAGGGCCCTTTTTTTCCTGGAATCGGCCGGCTGGGATTTGCAGGTATGTGGTAATGATAGTCCTCAGAGAAGCAGACATCGGTAACACAATGATCCAATGACCCGCCGCTGTCAAAGTAGCAGACCGGCGTGCTGACAAGAAGTTTCTTGATTCGGGTCATTTTGTAACATTAATCAATCTCACACGAATTTGCAATTTATACTTTCTCTTGGCGTGTTAAAGACTTCGGCTGCTTTTTGAGCAGTAAGTTTTAAGATAATGTACTATTCCTGTACTATGTCGAAATGTTAGTCAATGCATTCCAGCCTTGCGTGTTTCAAACACTTTGGAATTCCTTTTTCTGATATTATGTAAAATGTCTGCTTTATAGTAGTAATACCTCAAAAGAGTCTAGAAAACACATTTCAAATTCATGAAGTGTTGTGTACTTTTGTCTAAGGAAATTTCCTAAAGTAACGATCTCAGTGTGTTGTTACTATTGATTTCGAAAGCTCCTGCCCGTATTGCTTGGAGTTTACTTAAAACGAAGTGAAAGTGCTGTTAAAAGTTGCATAGAAGACTGTGTTGCTGCTCTGAATGGAGCTATGAGTAACAGTACATCTTTGTTTAGTGCCTTAACATTTTAACTATGCAATGTAATAATCAGTGAATTTATGCCATTATGTCATAAATGATAACGCATGGTTTCTACCCTCAACCAAGCTGGCTCTGGCCAGTTTCTACGAGGACGGTGCAGAAGATGAAGCTGGGATACTGCCTCAGCCAGAGAGACCTCCGGTTCAAGAAATATCCAGGTGCTCATCCATAGCTGCACTTTTGCTTGCATCCCGTGAGGATTTGTATGTGCTTGCCATTGTCTCATCAGATCTTCTTTTGGAAAGCAAGATTTTATTTTTTAACACTTGCCTAGATTGCCCTCGATGGAGGAAAACTGGTTTTAGCGTTCAACAGGTTGATCTACCATTGTGAATCGGTAGCTGCCCAGATTATTTTCTTTGAAAAGTAGGTCTCACTGTAAAAAGGGTTGGAGACCACTGCAATAGATGTTATACAACCCCAACGTTAACGCCACCTTTCCATAATAAAGCTGAAATGTGTTTTGAATCTATATTGAAGTGTAGGGCTTTTCTGTGTAGGGCTCTAATCTGTTAGAAGTCATCTGTGTATTCATTCTGTCTTTGACTGATACTTGTTTCTTCAGTTATTTGCCCTTTGATGTCTTGAAATCTCATAGATCTTCTGACCCATATTTCTCCATTTATTGGACATCTTTCCTGGTAGCTTCCTGAAGTTTTTGTTGTACATTCATGTCTTTCCTGGTTTTGACATCACTTTTCTTTGTGATTTCCCATGTGCCTCCTGTCATTTACTTTGATTTCTCTTTCATTTCGATCAATCCTTTTTCTGAAAAGCAGTGCATATACCTTGCTGGTGATTCCTGGAAGTCAGATGGCCTTGTTCCTTTTTCAGCAGTAGTTCATGATCTGCTGCAGTGTTCCATCATGTTGGGGAAGTATTGAGGCACCAGACGTTTTTTCCCCCATATAATGCTGCCAATGATGATGATCAGATTTTTCTGGGTGGGGGGTTATTAATGGTCATTCAGAAATTGATATAATGAAATTTATTCAAAAATTGGTTCAGCTGCTTATGTCGTAGGACTGTAAAACAGTGTTGGCATCACGAGGTGCTGGGGGGGCACCTAGCCTTCCCAAATAGGGTTGCAAAATTCTAGGAATATTCTTGTTAATTCCCATACTTTCCCGTTAATTCCCATGGAAAGTTTCTAATGTGGAATATTTCCAAACTTCCCATGGAACGTAAAGTTTCAGGAAAATTTCCAGAAATTTTCCAGCCCTTTGCAACCCTATTCCCAAATGACTGCCCGTGCCACCCCCCCCCCCCCCCCCAAAAAAAAAACACCAAAAGAAAAAAATTATTCCAAAATAAATGAATGCACATTTAAATGGAATAATCGGATGTAACCCAATAACCTGTGTATTGCACATCGAAATCAATTATGAAGCTAATGTTAGTTAAAGGTGAATATTGACATTCTGAGGTCCCAAGTGAGTCTCCAGATTCTCTGTTTTAAAGGTGAGTCTATAAATAGATAAATAAATAAAGTGTTATTCTATTGGCATTATGCTGCCACAGATCAGGGAGTTCTCGGGAGAAATTTGAACATCAAACTCTCCTGTACAAAACATGTTAATGTCCCTGCGGTGCTGGATAATTGACACACTGTGCAAGCACAGGTGACTTGTCTTTTGCATTCTGCTGGCCTGCAATAATGTGTAGTGCACTGAGGTTTTTATGATCTGGTTTGATCTTGAAGTCTTGAAGACTTTTTTTTGTAAGAGCAATACAGAGACCCAACCCCACCTGCCATCTTCAGATTTCTTCTGATGCTGACACAAATCCAGAGGGAAAGAAAAATGAAATGCTAAAAATGCAAACAACACACATGTCAGTCTGTGTGCTTTGGTCTTGTCATGAAATGTCTTTCTCCACCAGGTTGTGCAGACTTGTGTTGTGTTGTTCAGTTTTTTTGTTTTATTTTTGTGTCAGTCAGCCCAGAGTCACATCCTTCAGAGACCTTGTGCATGAAGACCAGGATCAAGGTGATGAGGAGGGACAGAGGTAAGAGTTGACCAGTCAAATGTGAAAGTCTGTTAGTAGGATGAAATACAGATGCTTATTTGTTCTCAGATAGCATTACTTGAAGAACTGATACTTCACTAACATTTACATATGGTACTGTGCAAAAGTCTTAGCCAGTCAAAAGAAATGTTTAAAGCTTTTTATCTGAGTAGTAAGTGCACATTTGCTCAGAACAAAAAAAACACAATTTAACATATGAAAATTAAGAATAACATCATAAAAACTTGCAAAAATTTCTTATATTCTCCAAAAGGTCCCTGAGATTTAGTTGGATGGCTAGATGGACACAGCTTCAGTTCCCAAAGCTCACTTCAGAGGCACTTCAGCCATTCCATGTATTTGTTAAATTTCACCAGCAGCTCACTTAATCAATTAAGTTAAAGTCAATGAGATATTGATTAGCTATACAAGGTGTGCTAATGGTCCAGTCAAAAAATACATGGGTGCATGGACTGTTGCTGGAAATAATAGGGTGATTTTAGCAGAGGTTTTGAAATGGCTAAGCTAACACACTTTGGCAGGCATAATAGCATAGTTTTACACCAACATAAAGATCATTTAAACATCATTTTCTTTGACTGCCTAACACTTCTGCACATTACTGTAAGGCTTTAAGGTGACCATATACTTTTAAATGACTTCTGGGCAAAACAAAATCAAGCACATTGGCACGAACAATTTGTTGCATAGTTAAAATGATGTCGCCACCTTGTTCACTGTCCTGCCATAAATTCTTGAGGGGCGGATGCAGCAGACCTTCATGCAGAACACAAATAAACATATTAGAAGAATTACAACCCCAAATCAGGAAAAGTTGGGACGGTATGTTAAATTAAATTCATACTCAGAACTGTACTTTGTTAAATTATCTTTGACCTGTATTACATTGAAAACAATACAACAGCACATTATTTAATATGTTCCTCGTGAATTTTATTGTTTTTCTCAAAATTCACACGTATTCCAATATTGGTTCTTGCAACAAATTTCTAAAAAAGTTGGGACAGGAGCAATTCAGGGCTTAGTAATGAGGTAAATTTGTTAAATAATGATGTGATTTGAAACAGGTGATGTCAACAGGTGATTGTAATTATGATTTGGTACAAAAGCAGCATCCAAGAAAGGTCTAGTCCTTTAGGAGCAAAGATGGGCCGAGGATCACCAGTTTGCCAACAAACGTGAAAAAGATATTGAAATGTTTAAAAACAATGTTCCTCAAAGAAAGATAGGAAGAGATTTGGATATTTCACCTTCAATAGTGCATAACATAATTAAAAGATTCAAGGAATCTGGAGGAATTTCATTGCGTAAAGGACAAGGGCTCAAGCCTAAGCTGAACAAGCGTGATCTCCGATCCCTCAGGCTGCACTGCATCAAGAATCGTCATTCATCTATAAGCGATATGACCACATGGGCTCAGGACTACTTTGGCAAACCTTTGTCAAGTACCACAATACGTAGTTACATCCACAAATGCCAGTTAAAACTGTACTGTGCCAAAAGGAAGCCCTATGTTAAGTGTCCAGAAGCGCCGTCGACTTCTCTGGGCTCGGAGGTATCTGGGATGGACCATCACACAGTGGAAACCTGTACTGTGGTCAGATGAATCGGTATTTCAGGTATTTTTTGGGAGAAATGGACGCCGTATGCTCCGGACCAAAGAAGAAAAGGATCATCCAGACTGTTACCAGCAGCAAGTCCGAAAGCCAGGGTCTGTCATGGTATGGGGTTGTGTCAGTGCCCTTGGCAAAGGTAACTTGCACTTCTGTGTTGGCACTGCTGAAAAGTACATAGAGATTTTGAGGCACAATATGCTGCCTTCAAGAAGACATCTTTTCCAGGGACGCCCATGCATATTTCAACAAGACAATGCAAAACCACATTCTGCACACATTACAAAGTCCTGGCTGTGGAGGAAGAGGGTTCGGGTACTTGACTGGCCTGCCTGCAGTCCCGACCTGCCTCCAACAGAGAATGTGTGACGCATTTTGAAGCGCAAAATGCGACAACGAAGACCCCGTACTGTTGCCCACCTTAAGACTTGTTTGCAGGAAGAATGGGACAAAATTACATCTGGAACACTTCATCACTTGGTGTCTTCAGTCCCTAAACATCTTTTAAGTGTTGTGAAAAGGAATGGCAACATTACAAAATGGTAAATGCTTTACTGTCCCAAGTTTTTTTGAAATGTGTTGCAAGAACCAAAATTGGAATGCATGTTTATTTTGAGAAAAACAGTAAAATTCATGAGGAACACATTAAGAAATGTGCTGTTGTATTATTTTCAATGTAATACAGGGCAAACATAATTTAACAAAGTACTGTTTTCAATTTGATTTTAATTTAACATACCATCCCAACTTTTTCTGATTTGGGGTTGTAGAAATATAAGCTTTTTATTGTCATTATACCATGTGTAATGAAATTGCAAAACAGCTTCCTTTGTGGCAAGTACGTGAGTCATTTTAATAAAGGAGATGACAGCTCTTTTAAAATGAAAGTTACTCTTTATATTAACAGCCACTATTGGTTTAATACTGGCAGTGCCAGATGGGGAAGTTAACAATTTGCACGACACTTGTAGTTACACGCTAAGGAAACCAATGCCTTCCATGGCAAGCGTTACACAGCTACAACATTCACTATTTGCAGTACACAAATTTGCATTATTTATTTACACTGTTTACAGATGTATGCAGTGCGGTGAAAAGCATTCCAGTAACTGTATAGTTACTCCTGCTGAATAACTCTGTGGCAAACCGCTAATTCTGGACAGTGGTTGCGATCAGAACAAGCGAACATGTTTGTTTTCGGGGACTTTACACAAGTGGTGCGCTGATACAGTGTTTGCTGCGGTGCTTGCAGCTCATGCAGTGTCATCTTTTTAAAACAATGTCGATTCCGTTAATTTCGTTTGAGGTATATGGCCATCTTAAACAGTCTTTCCATAGATCAGATAATTGTCCGACTGATCCCTAAACAGGCTTTCCAGCGTATTACTGGATTTTTTTACCTGCAACTCTTCACAAACAAGATTTCCAGGGTATGACTGCACCTTTTACGGGCAAATATTCTAAGGTTATTTGCTCTTTTGATGTCATAGCTGGATCCTTGCTGAAGGCATCTTCTATTTTTAACAGTTAAATAATGCACGCTAAACAAGTATCTACGAATGGCATATTGAAGGACATTTCCAGATAACTGTAGCAGTAATACATGCAGAAAATGTTTACTTATAAGAAAGGTATCTAGGTTAAATTCAGATGGTACTTTAATGTACAAAAACAGGTTCAGTAGTTTCCCAGCCATAGGGCAGGTCCATTGGTGTGCAACATTTTGAATGGCTGTTGCCGTGGTAACAGCTTATTGACAGTGCACCAATCAGGAGCACGGAAAGTTTTATGTATTTTTCTTAGCTCCTGTCTGTATCCTGGGTGACTCATAATGCTTATGGTTCAACACCACACCCATCTCTAAGCTTTTCAGGTTAAGCCCCTTCCTTAAGGCTACACCAACAGTGGCCTCTCCTACAATTCATGCTCTCCTTGCTTTGTCCTGTCTGCCAGCTTTCATGAGATGATTTGAATTTTGCTTTGCTTTGATTTCAATGGGGCTTGGCACAATAACGCCCAATCATAAAATCTCATCATCAGTGTTACTGGAACATCTGGGAGTGGGATTACTGGAGGTCATGGGAACTTTGCTGTTTGGAGCCTGTGGTTATGATTTGCTTATTCGATAGATAGATAGATAGATAGATAGAAAGATAGGTAGATAGGTAGGTAGGTAGGTAGGTAGGTAGGACTTTATTGATCCCACAGTGGGGAAATTTCTGCGTTACCACAGCTCTAGACAGATAGCCTGAAAGAGCACAAGAGTAATACAGAATAAGAATACAAGAAAAAAATTTATAATAAAAAATAAGATAAAACACTAAATACAGCAGTAGTGCCTATGTACACCCATACACAGTATGTAATATATGGATAGTGGGTTGTGGGAAAAAGTGCAAGTAATATAAATAACAACTATTTCACTACTACAGCTGCATTTACCTCTGTAAGGTGCGTTATGTATGAAGTGGTAAGTATTGGTGACCGTAGAGGTAAGTTTATTATGAGTCTTTGAATTCAGTCCTTTCTGCTCCTCCATTCCTGTTGTCTCCCTCAGGTTCTATGCTGGGGGATCTGAGCGAAGTGGACAACAGATTTTGGGCCCCCCCAAAAAGAAGAGCTCTCATGAGGTGGTGGAGGATCTTTTTAAGGGCGCTAAGGAGCATGGAGCTGTCCCAGTGGACAAGGCTGGCAAGAGTCCTGGAGAATCTAGCAAGGCTCGGGTATGTCACTAAGTTTTCATCGTGCTGCAGGCCTAAGGTGATGAAGACGTCTCTGATGCTCTTTGTCTCTGAATATAATTTGTGTCCTATTATGTGGGTGAAGCCAAGTAAAAAATTCTTAATATAGGTTGTGCTAAAAGGTGGTTCATCACTTGGCATGTGACAATGTGTAGTCTTGACTCCTAGTTTGCAGTTAGTAGTGAGTTTTAGAGGGTCTGTCTCAATCTCTGAAACATTTAGGCTGTTTTGTTACTGTAAGTAGCATCTTTTTATCTCCACTCTTGCTCTCTTCAGCCTTTCTTAGGTGGGGGTTACAGGCTGGGTGCAACAACCGAGGAGCAGTCCACCTATGTGGCTGGGGAGAGGCGGTCTTCAGATTCTAAACAGGAAGTGAGCATTGCCTCTTCATCCTCACCTCACCTCCAGTCATGTTGAATGCATGCTAACGTTTTCTCATGGCGACAGGTACACGTGGTGCTGAAGCTGTGGAAGGATGGCTTCAGCCTCAATGATGGCGAACTTAGGACCTACTCTGATCCTGGAAATGCCCAGTTCCTGGAGTCAATACGCAGAGGGTGAGGCAACCACTCTTTAGTGAAGGCCAGAGATGACTATGAACCCAGACAGTATTGACAATACAGTACGTTGCTTTTGCCATATTGATTCCAGATCTGGAATTGCACGTTCTACACCTGACTTGTCTAGGCAAAATATTCCAGATATAAAAAGTAAAATTGTTATCTACTACTCAAGTAATTTTTCACATGGAGTCGTGCCAAGAAATAAAATGATGTAATAATGCCTGGGGTGGACATTTGGGTACTGGGCTGCGTGGAAGCTGAGGTGGTGATGGTCTGTGGGAATGATCTCTTGCCTGGTCTTTGTTTCCTTCTGTCTATACAGTGAGATCCCCATGGAGCTGAGGCAGTTATCTCGAGGTGGGCAGGTCAACGTGGATATGGAGGACCACCGGGACGAAGAGTACTCCAAGCCCAAGCTTGCCTTCAAGGCTTTTGGTGGCGAGGGCCAGAAGCTGGGCAGGTGAATGGAAAGTAGAGGAAGTAGGGTTCTCTCTGCAGTGCATGACCTATACAAACAACAATGGACATGCAGAGGGGTAATATTGGAAGCTCCACTGTTGCAGCCAAGAGCAACATAATTAATCGGCCTCAGGTTGCACAAGGGGAATTTTAGCTTACTGTTGCTGCAAAATGTTAAAGCTTCGATCCACATTAGATGCATTATTTGGATGTGGAAGCCATTGATCTGCAATCAAACACAGATTGTGATGTATTCATGTGTGAATATACTAGCAGCATGCTTGGACAAGAGTCCCTGTCTCCTCTATAGCGCGACCCCACAAGTGGTCTCATATGCTGGGATGTCAAGGGCCACTCCGAATCAAGAAGCTGAAGCAAGCACCGCCATTGTCCTGGACGACATGCAGCCCATCACCAATATCCAGGTGCGGCTGGCCGATGGCAGCCGTCTGGTGCAGAAGTTCAATCACACCCACAGGTGCGGTGCTAAGTCATGCTGATATGCCCTGCTGTGCCCCCACCGCTTTGCAGCAGAAATGAGGATCCATGAGGAAATTAATGGATCTCAAGTAATTTAAATGACACTTGATTAACCTCGGATTGCTAGCATAATTCGTTCCGGAAACGTGTTCGTAATCCAAAGCACTCATATATCAAAGCGAATTTTCCCATTAGAAATAATGGAAAGTCAGATGATTCGTTCCACAACCCAAAAAAAAAAAAAAAGATTAATACAAAATAAAGTAAAAATACATAAAACAAGTTAACCTGCACTTTACCTTTTGAAAAGATTCATGGATGTTGTGAGGGAGAAGAGGAGGGTTATTTTGTAGGACGACTTTCACTACAACTAACGGAATCTCTGCTATCTGTTGGCTCACTGGAATCTTTTTCTTTTTGTGTGACTTTAACAAGGAACCTATCCAGTGACAGCCACTGTTGCCTCCTTTTCGATTTCGTGGAAATGTGACATTGCATTGCGTTTTAACAGATTAATCGCTTGCACTGCTACACCCTTATTCGGGTGGTGCTTTTCTACTAAAATTTGACTATACGAGTGAGGGACGCTGACTGAGACCGAGCATGGGAGATGGATTACCCACAATCCCGCAGCGAGAGAGAGAGAAAAGAACCATCGGCTCATTTGTGATCACGTGACGCTCGGCAGACAAAGCATATACGTAATACTCGTATTGTAAGATTTATCAAGTTAGTCTATTAAAAAATTTTGCTCGTCTTGTAAAACACTCGCAAACCAAGTTACTCGCAATCCGAGGTTTGACTGTATATATATATATATATTTTTTTTTTTTTTTGTAAACTGCAGCCTGGTTCTTCTCTGTTTCTCATTGATGAAGGGCTTCTTCCTTGCTTTATGGGACTTCAGTCCTGCATCTAGGAGCCTGATTCGAACTGTCCTAGCAGTGCACTTCACACCTGCACTTAATGTTTCCCATTCCTTCTGAAGGTCACCTGATGACATCCTCCGACTCATGAGAAACTGTCGGATAAGTTAATGGTCTGGCATTAGAAAGTTGCTTTAGCCCTTTACCTGACTGGTTTCTGGTCATTCCCAGTGTCTCCCACTTTACCTTATTCTTGTGTACTGCTGTCTTAGAAATTTTGAACCTAGAAGCAACTTGCTACTCAGTGTAGCCTTCTCCCAGCAGAACTACGATTAAACCAGGATTTCATAATGCAGATTTAAAAAAATTATATAGAGTGGTCTTCCAGAGCTGGTCTTCCAGAGCTGGTCTTCCAGAGCTGGTCTTCTAGTGGTTTTCCAGAGCTATATGTTTAGGTTAAATTTCTGCTAAAAGCATCCATGGGGCAGCACTGTATAAACATGAAGGCAAAAGCCACCTGATTTCTTTCAGCCACTGACTGACTAACACTGCAGTGTCATGCAACACGTAGATCTAAGTAAAATCTCTCTGGGTCTCGATCCTTCCCTGTCCAGGGTATCAGATGTGCGTCGCTTCATCGTGGGATCCCGACCAGCTATGGCAGCAGTGGAGTTTCTGCTGATGACAACATTCCCTAACAAGGAGCTTAGGGACGAGAGCCTGACCCTGTCACAAGCTGGTCTGCTCAATGCTGTCATCGTGCAAAGGCTGAAGTAATAATCCCCCCCATTCACTGGACCATGTGAGGGGGAGGGAGGTAGTACAACTTTGACTCCCGGTTGGGAAACACAGAGTTCTGGACCTGCAGATTGGTGTGATGTGTTTTTGAAGTTCAGTTCCTTGGAGAATGCCTTGCCTCTCAACACCATGGGACTGTCAGCAATGGCTTGTGCACATTGACTGAAATGGGAGGCAAGATTCAGACGAGATTGGAAGGATTCCTCAACAAAGTATTGTTTAAAGTTAGTAGGAAAGAAACACAATAAAACAATAAAAAAAAACATCAAATGTCTTACCTCAAGGCTTGGTTTCTTAATTAATTGGAATTCAAAACACTCCCTGTTGTCCAAGTTGTATCTATATCCCAAAAGCCTTGATTTCTATTATTTATATCAGTCAGTCTTTCCTTCACAAGACAAACTAATCAGAAGTTTTTCTTTACATCTTTATTTACACCAAGGAATTGTTTTGGGCAAGAATAATATACATGATATGAATTAGCATTTTTAATAATTGTAATGATATATTTTTCTGTACTCTGTTTTTCATAGGGTTTATATTTATGTATGGTGTTGCAGTGACATTGATTTCACAGCAGAGGGCAGTGTTTAAGGAGTTTTTAGGCAGATTTCCTGAGCATGAATTTTCAACTTACTAAAATATTAATCCATCTGTGAAGTCTGCTGTCCATTCTTTTTCATAGTTGCGCAAGCTGATCGTGCAGCTCACTGTAATTTTTTTCCAATGTGGCATTGATACTGATTTAATTTCTTTCAACCACTTGTGACTTGATGATGTCCTTGTTGTTTTTCTTAACTGAAGTTGTGCATAGAGATGTGGCAGGCCCATGTATTTAATAACTGAGTATGCTGACAACATTGTTAGGCTAATAGATGCAGGATGTGAGACATTTGTGTTTGGAGATGCACTCTGATGGCATAACTAGAATACAGATGGAATCAGTTTCACAAGATTCCTCTCAGTTTCATGGTGCTACTTATCCATCCCAGTTTATTACTATGCAGCTGACTGATGTTACACGATGGAGAAAAGCACAAGGAAACAAGTAGGTGTGTGCTGGTCTACACCCCTCCTGGGCTGCTGGGGGCATCATGTGCTGTGATTGGATCAAATGGTCATTCCAGAATAGGGTGATAATGGGGGATGATGGGTAAAGTATGTTCTTTACTTCAAAACGTTATACATACTGTATAAATGGTTTACATTATTACATATACATACATATATAACTATATATAAAGATGCATTTATTATTTACATAAATACTTGAAAATGATTATTGCAACCCAAACTGTAACAGGATCTTTGTTATTTTAAATGAGTCAGAAATTACTCTAATTCTCAGTTGACTGTAGTCCCAGGTGTATCAGAGACCAGCTTCTGTCGTGGTCCTGAAGGCTGGGACTTGGCTGAAGCCCACAGCTCTGTAATAATTGCTGAAAGCTAAGGTTGGCAATAAGACATTTAAACTGGCAGAATGTAAAGAATGAAGTTTAACATGTCTGGTGTCAAATATCCTGGAGTCTAAGTTATGATGGCTGGTCTTATTTGGGGCTGCAGGAATCTATACTCTCAGGGGAAAAAGGGTACAGCTTGTCATTGGGACTGAACAGTTTTACCCTAGCTGTAGGTAGATGTACCTTTTAAGGTACGGAAATGGACTCTAAGGGACATCCCCAAGGTACAAACACTGTTCCTCATAGTCCATTTCTGTACCTTAAAAGGTACATGTACCCTTGAGAGTACAGCATCAGTGACAGCAAAGGTACAAATTGGACACTTTTTTTCTGACCGTGTAGCAGTAGATGTGGGGAAGGATTCTACAATTTTGCCATTTTATTTTCTGAGGCCAGAGTCTGTACTTGTGCTTGATTGTTGATGGGTGGGGCTGCATTCCTCAAGGCATCTGTATCCAGTGAATTGTAAAGGAAGTTCACAGTGGGGGAGGGGGGGGATTACAGTCTGTTTGGCATTGAGGGGTTCTGGAATGAGCTACTCAAATCAACTGCAATCATGGGCACCGGGTGCAATAATGGTCTCCGATTTTGTCAAAGGCAACATTTCCACCTGTTAGGGTTTTAGTTTTCAAGGTTATCCTCTTGTGTGGGAAGTCGTGGGCTGTCAAGGCTGGTTTTTACTCCTGTGTTGCGTGACTTTGGCTGTCAGCATCTTGGGCTCCTTCATTGGGTTGCTTTGTCTATGAATCAGTGAAGTTGCGTGAGAAGAAAAAGCTCCACCCCTTCCCCCTCCCTGGAGAGATGCCTACCAGCCTGAATCGTCACCCCGGAGGACCACTGGCAGGACAACACTCCAGTAAGGGCCTGACGTTCAGCACTGTGGTCACTAATGTACATCCACTCATGCTTTATTCCTAACTGTTGGAGTTCCCTGCTTTGCTCTGCTCTCTGGGATATGTCTCTCCTTGTTCTTTTTCTGATATAGTTGGCCAAGTTAGTAGGTAATGAGGTCAGATAAGATTCAATCAATGCTGCTGGAAACTGGAGTACCCTTCATTCTGTCACTCGGTCCGTCTCTAGTGGGAAGCGAGTATACCTCTGAGCAGGAAGCTGTGCTGTGCTGTAGGGACCATAGACTTCTCTCTGCAGATCCTCCTACTTGACGTGGTCCAGGTGAACATCTGACCACTGCACTGCAGACCTTCTACTTCTCATGCTGTGATATGCAGTGAAACATTTCTCCTCTCTCAAGTGTGGTGATGTGTAAGTAGTGGTTATATAAGTATGTAATATGTATATAATGGGGAGGTTTTATTTACTCATTGGACAGCTGAACCTTCCAGGTGTGTGTGAACTAAAAATCATCAGGGGTAACCCTACAAGAAGGATGCTTCTCATTTATGTTTGGAAGAAAACTTCCCATCTTCCATAGCATTCTCTTTAACGCCAACACACCCCCAGCTTTAAGAAATGCTTACATCATTATAATGGTTAACCAGTTGTTTACATATATTCGATTGATTACATACAGTGACGAAGACTGGCAGTGGGGGTGTGCGGTACTTATACAATGAAATTAATTTTAAACCTTCATTCAGTATGGCAGAAGAACACTATCTTTAAATGGTAATGACAACAACAGAAATCTATTTAATACAGCTGACAAATTCGCAGTGTCACAGAATTCCACACTTGGCTCAAATAATGTCATTGCAAAATGAAAGGATTGCTGGCTGTGCTGAAGGCGTTATCATGTCTGTGAGCCGCTTAAAAAAAGATCCACCAGTCTTGTTAGTTCTGGCAGCGGCAGATCATTTCTGTATAGTAGATTACAGTTCATTAACTACGGGGCTTTAGAAACCCATTTTGGAATGCTTTAAAATTCTACTGGCACTGTTTAATTCTAAATTCAACGTCTATGGAAAATGACAAGCTGCTCCTTCAATGCTGCAATATAAGTTTCAGAGCTGGAGGATCACCAGGTCAATAAAGAACTGGAGGAAAGCCTGGAATGACTCTCATTTACAGCACGCTGGAAAGATCGCTGCCCAAGTATTGCCACTGACTGACAGTCCATCAGAATGACGTGTTCGTTATTGCACAATTAATGAAAATGTTAAATATTCAAAGTTATGTTGCCACACTACTACTGGAGCAGACCTTCAGCAGTACACCTCTTGTCAGCTAGCTTCAACAAGAAGCATTTCCTGTTGCCTAGGAACCATGTTCTTTTGTGTAAGGATGATATATATGAATATAAATACAGATAAATGTCTGTTAGCCCTCCTTTGGCAGTCTACTTTGGCTGTGAATTTTTTCAGGTTATTTTCAGGTTTTTTCAATGTTCTGTTGTGATATATGCTGGTGTTATCTTTGCCGTTACATTTAGTCAGGAAGTGTGATTCTCTAACCCCATTAAACTATCTTTAAGTTTAGCTTGAAGTCCATGGCTTTATTATTCAATCATTAGTCCTTAGTCCATAGCCATATAATATATAATGTTGGACAAGGATGCCCATGGTCTTCTCAAAATACCCTAAACTCATCTCCTGTTTTAGTTACTGCAGCTGTTATTCCTGTGGTCATGTCTGTGCTGAATTTGTATCATTGTGACATTGGTTGCAATCATAGTTGTTGCAGGTACTGTGGCATGGAAATCCTGTAATGCAGCAACTGTATGAGTTTTTGCTGCATTGTTTTACTCATTTAGATGTTTCATTTTGTGCAGCAGCTGTAGAGGGTGTAGCAAATACTTCCGACCCTGTGGGGAAGGTATTGTAATTGCTCTGGTAGCAGCATGATTGTTGTCTGAAGGACCTTTATCTCCATGCCTCTTGGGGTTTACATCCACATGATGTCGTGCTTAACCTCCCTGGGCTCTGCCTCATCGACCTGAAGCTTTGCCTCACACCTCACCATGTGTATGAAAGCAAATCTGTCTCATCACAATTTGAATTTTTTCTTTAAGCCAGCGCTGTAAGCGGCTGCATGAAGTCGAACGCACCCACAGATTCGATTACTTAGCCTTGGTATCCCGGATCTATAACTTGTATTTTTAACCTTCTATTTTTGCATGTGAATTCGGACCATCGAATTGGAGCAATTTTGAAAAGTTCTCTTTGAATTTTTGAAACTTGAGTTTTTTGTTATTTGTATCTTTAAACCCTGAATTTGTTTTATTGTGAATTTGTGAACATGGAAAAATAGCAGTGAAACTGCATTATAGAAAATTTGAAGACTCTAAGTCAGAGGCAAAAAAAAATCTGATGCATATTTCCAATGCATAAATATTCAATGTTAGAATTGATGTGGCATATAAAATTCAAATTGTGATGAGACAGATTTGCTTCCATGCATGTGCTGCCTCTTTGAGGCCTTCATGAGTGTTTCTAGCTATACACCAGTTGTCTCAAACTCCAGTCTGAGGGGGCCGGAGCCCTACACAGTTTTTGGTTCACCCTCATTTAACACGCCTGATTCAACTCCTTATGCTAATTACCACACAGCTCTTGAGCTGAATCATTTGTGGTGGAAGGGGGAAAGAAGTAAGCTACACAGGGCTCTGGCCCCCCAGGACTGGAGTATGAGACCCCTGCTATACACCCTATACTCCTATTCTTTGCGCTGTTGCCACAGTTACCATGATCCCATCTTCTCCAGTTCCAGTTCTACTATGCACTATGAAGAATTATCTCTTTAGCTTTCCCATCTTGCTGTGACCATAATTAGTGGTTAGTGGTAAATTCCATGCTTAAAATATGCCCTGACCTTCCTTCCACAGTAATACCGTGTTTCCTACCCTGAAGGGGTGGGCAGCAGAGAAAAGGAGACTCGGCTTACGGTCTGAAACTAGTGATAACATTGTTATTAAAATTCAGTTCTGCTTTTTTTTTGTCCTGTGTTTAAAACATGGCTTTGCTTTTTAGGGTATTTCCTCAAGATAATCCTCACAGGGGACATTTTTGTTGTCCCGCAACATTACAAAACTAAATAGCTCCCAGAACAATACTACCCCCCAGTGCAAAGAAATAATATTAAAAAAATAATAATTACTGAACAAGGTGCATAGTACTTGTGACGTAGTGCAGGTTAAACAGTAGAGTTATGAGCCAAAGACAGTTGGGTTAGTGGACTGTTCAGCCTACCTGCCTCCTTCAGCTTGATACCTCACTGGTGATGTGACGAAATGCACATTAAAGTCATTAAATAGAGTCTTGATGCATGAGCACGATAAATAATTGTTTTCACACAATATTATATTCAGCAGCATTTTAAGTGATTTACAATGTCATATAGACATTGTTCAGTATTTCTTCAAATCAAAACTAATCAAATTTTATTTATAAAGCACATTTACCACAACTGCAGTTGACCAAAGTGCTGTACAAATTATAAAAATACTACTAGGAGATGAGTAAGAGAAAATTGGTTAAATCCAGAGTATGAGTTACAATAGTCCAGCCAAGAGAAAATAAAAGCATGAATGAGTCTGTCAAAATCAATCACAGGGAGTCAAGCTAGAACAGTGTTTCTCAACCCAGTGCTTGGGGAACCCCAGACAGTCCACATTTTTGCATCCTTCCAGCTCCCAACACACCAGGTATCTGGGGTCCTTGGTCACTTTAATGATTTGTTAAGGGGTGCCAGGAGCTGAGAGGAAGCAAAAATGTGGACTGTCTGGGGGTCCCCAAGAACAGTGTTGAGAAAAAAATTACATAACTCTTCATCAATGGGTTGTGGGTGAGTACAATGCAGACAGGGAACTTGCGTGTGGGTAGTTGGGTCCAGACCGCAATCCATACCTTATTCTGACACCCTGCAGGACACAGTATTGCACAGTAGCCCCAACCACCCTATCATTAATCTGTATTAAAAAAAAAAAAAGTATTCGGTGATACTTTGAGAGTTGAGATTCAGGTGTAATTCTGCAGCCCTTTGTTTGGTATATAGGGAAAAGTCACCCTTTCATGTGTAAGTATATGAGTTCGTTCATGCCTATGACTGTCTAAGTGTGAGTGTAAAATGCTTCTGCTTTTGTCTGCCTTAATTCTAGCACATGTTTTTGTGTGTTCTATGGATCAATATTTACTCATTCTGTAAATTCCATGTGTTGTTTTACAGTTTTCTGCATATGCATAGTGTTTTTTTTTTATTGTTTGCTTTTGTATGTGTTTCATTTGTGTATTTGTGTCCCAGGAAAGTCTACCGGCTGTCCGCCCTGGCCTTGCCAGACACATCCCTCCTCTGCTGCCTGGTGATGTTCCTCTGTGTGAAGGTGATGGAAGATCAGGCCTTTTCTGTCTGAGTATGCAGTTCAACTTCTAGGCCAAGCACTTTTAACCTCAGCACTAGACTACTGCAACTCTCTACTTTACCAGCTTGTGCTGTCAGACCACTGCAGACGATTCAAATTGTGGCAGCATGTCTGGTACTTGACCAGCCAAAATGCTCTTATGTTACACCCCTCCTTGTCTGACTTCATTGGCTCCCAATATGAACTCACATAAAGTTCAGGTTCTTGGTACTGGCCTTCAGGTCCATTAATGAACAGCCACCCACCTCCTTAAGGACCTATGTCCCATCGGGCTTTTTTTACCAGCAAACCAGCGCCACTTGGAAATTCTTTCAGCATGTGAGAAGTATCATTCCAGATGGTTCTCTCGTGTGGTTCCCCAATGGTTGAATGAGCTGCAGAACCACATCCAGTCATCAGATTACCTCTCCACCTTCAAGAAATGCCTTAAATGCCTTCAAGAAATGCCCGTCTGTGCTGGGAATTCCTCCATTAACCTGATCTCTCTCTGTACCCTCTGCATATTATTAATGTTGCACTTCTCATCATTGAATTATCTTATTAGGTTCTTGCTTTGTTGGAAGATGCTGTGTGGCTCTTGCTCCTATTCAAGTTATGCTTGTACCTGGGCATTCAATGGAAGCCAGCTTAGCTACACTTATGCCTAATCAACTTCTTGGCAGCTGTATGTTTGTAATGTACAATTTGCCTCACTTATACGCTTTAGACAAAAACTTCTACCAGATAAAATAAATGCAAATGTAACTGTAAAATGAAGGAGCAATCAGGTACACTGGAACAATTAAGAGGCGGTTATTTTGGCCGTTGCTTAGCAAGGGTGTGTGATGAAATATGCAAGGGAGGAGTCAGAAATCATAGTGTGGGTGGACCGGCAGAAAATCAGGTAGGCCAGTCCCATGGGCAAAAAAAAAAATCACACTACAGCCTCAACTACATTTCTTGCTTTCACAACCCAAATTTGGGTCACTGATTTTCCAGCAGGATGATGTTACATTTGTGCACATAGTCTCTAGATGTTAAATGATGCAATTAATTTCTTCCTGAAGCGTAACACAGCTGAGTTCCATATTATATAACTGCACCACCTGGTGTCCTACAGCAGGATCTGCTACAGGGTGCAACAATGTGATTACAGGGGGCAGAGCTTAGTATACATTCTAAGGAATGAAAGACAAGGTGATTATCATGATAGCTGTAACTGATGTACATATAGAAGCCTGATACTTTTATATGCGTGTTTGCTTCCTCAAGTAATATCAATCAATTTGAATTAATGTGAACTAATGTCAATTTTGAATCAATCTATTCTTCAAATGTTAATCCACTCAGTAGACCCTGCCCTATAGGGGTTTCTAAGGGTTTAAAGAGATCTGTAAAACTTGTGTACAGCGTTATCCTCCAAGAGAATGGTTAAGCGTCCCAAGATAGACTGAGTTTGACAGCCATTGAATTAATGAAGTTATTTCTCCATTCTGTGTACTCAGTGTTATGTTGTATTCAGCAGATTACCCAATAAACTGGTACTTTTTTCTGTATCTGTTTGATGTATTTGTGTGGCAAACCTTGAGGAACTTTGCCCTACTCCGCACCCATGTGTCTAGCCTGCAGAGCTACTTCCAGGTCCAGCGACTGTCCCTGTTGGTGATTGAGAGCCCATCTGCTTCGCCTGTTCACCAGCCCGATTTGTACTCACAAGCAGCATTGTGACATTCTCACAAAGGATCTGCTCTAGAAAACATAAGGCCTTCATACATGCCAGCATTGATGATGTCTGAGCAATGCCTAAAGCACGCCAACAAGCTGAATTTAGATAGATGATGAGTGCAGTATGAGATGTGAGAGAATAAGCTTGTCATCAGCTAGCCAGGATGCTTACAACATGCTTATTGTCTGTTGCTGTACTTAGTTCCCCTCTCTGGTGAAACACAACCTGGTAACCTCTGACCTTGCCCTGGATCAACTGACAGCAGCAATGATTTCCCACCCTGGCATGCCATGTTGGTGCGAGTCAGGAAGAAGATGGCACATTGGTCTTCCTGTCACTTCGGCCTCCTCTGCATTCTGCTGTCTTGAGCCGAGTAAATTTTTCTTTTGTTACCCTTGGTGTTTTGCTACCCAACGCACCTCTCGGCATGCTTCACCAAGTGTGGAGGCCGTAAGAGTGTGCGCCCTTCCGACACACACCCCTGTGGGTGTCTGTCCTACTGCAGCTGCCATCCCTCAGTGCTGGTGTTATGGTGACACTTGGAGAGTCTGATCTGATTTCTGGAGAGTGTGACAGCTGGAAGCTGTCAACCTGGATGCCTCCCAGTCAGGCGCTGATGTAGTGGCTGGCTGACAAACTCTGACCCATTTTATCCTCCTCCAAAGTCCTCTAAAGTTACTTACAGAGTTTATACTTTTTATGAGCAAAGATTTCAGCAGAGAGGTCCCAGATCCAAATCTTACTTTAACTGTTACTCTCTCTGGCTGATGCTGTTATCCAATGCAACAATAGAGTAATGTTTCAAAGGCTCACGAACATGTTACACTTAACCTAGTACAGCTGTAATTAAAGATGTCCATCTGACTTCTGTAATGGCCTGCTCAAAACAGGGGTCAAGAAATGTGTCACCGGTTGTCATTTGGAAGACCTGCAATGAAGATTTGCCAACCATGGGTGTCCCCCTTGGTAAATTTTGCAGTGGCCCCCCTACTATTCCCTTCCTCCTCTGCTACTGCCCTCCAAATTTAATTTGCCATCTTTCGCCCCAACCTATAAATAAACCTTTGCCTTTATATTATTAAGTTGTGTCCCCCCACCAATATCAAACTCTCTCCTATGGCACTGGATTCAATCATCTCAATGAAAATGCATCAGGCCACTCAGGCAGAGGGATTCGATCTGGTTCATACAGTATGGTCTCCAGTGGTCAACATGATATCGACAGCACATATTGACAATAATAATAATAAAAATAACGGACATACCAGCAATATACTGGATTGTGTTATAAAGATGACAAAATGTAGTTTTGCACCTTGCGTTGCAAAAACACAATAGAATACATGTGTTCGCAAAACTGGGCGGCATAGCTAGCTTATTGAGTGTTTACCAGCTGTTCAAAATGACAAAGTATCCATTTTATATATGAATCTTGTTTCAATATTCCATATCCCGAGGCCCAATTAACACAGATATGTGACCCATTTAATAACCGGCCAAAATAAAAATAGAACACACTTATTGTAAATGGGGGAGGGAGAGACTATAAAAAAATGTATCCATTTGATATTTAACAATTCCGAGAACGGTTACTTAGTCAGTTTCTCCTATACATTGATTTTACGTCCGTATTAATGATATGCTTTGCGACAGCATAACATTTAATATATTTTATATCTTCTTCTGTTCCAGCTTGATAATCAGTTAATCAACTATATATATATAGTTGATTATGTACCGCAAAGGGTATTTCTGTTCACCAAAAAAAACTTAACTATAACATACCATTTGAATTATGTGTCAAATTGTTTTTTATCGGCCGTTTTCTACCAGAAATCACGAGCGAATGGGTTAATTCGAAATGCGCCACTTACGTAAGTGACGTGACCGCGGCTTCCGCTCTTCCTACGCACGGCGCTTCCAGTCGCTGTAGAAGCCGACTGCTGCTCGGAAAGGGTGGTGGAGCTGTCTAGCTAGTTGCACCGCTACCAAGCGAAATGGGAGTCGAGATCGAGACAATAACTCCGGGTGACGGTAAGCTAACTGGCCCGTCTGACCTGTCTGGGGAGTTGATCGGCGTCACTGACGTTTTTCTGGCCGTTTTATTTTCCTGTGCTTTTTTGCAGGGAGGACTTTCCCCAAGAAAGGACAGACCTGCGTGGTGCATTATGTGGGTGAGTCCGACAGCTACACGCCTAACCAACGAACGCGATACCTGCTCCCCCCCCTCCCTCATCGGGGGCTAGGCCCCGCTTATCCGCCGTGTACGAAATGAATGCAAAAAACCGTAACGATCAGAAGCTGTTGGTGCTGATCCGTCCAGTTATAGCTAGTCTGCGGGTTAGCTGCTTTCGGCTTAGCAGGTTTGTCGTCGACTTTGGCGGTCTTCGGAAGCGAGGGAGTGCGGCTAATCGGCTAACGTAGATGCGGACGATCGATAAGCTGTCCCCTTATATTTTATATGTTTGATTTGGCCCTAAAATGTTGATTAAGATGGGCATCATCGATTCACCTCGGGCCCGGACATGTATTCATATTGGCAGGGCGGACGGAACGGACTGTCGGTTCCTTTGTTGGGGATAGGATGCAAGTGGGGGTTGGGGTGTGAAGCGACTGGGTGGGGAGCTGAGATTGCATGTTACGGCTTGGTTTTGCAGGTACGAGATGTTCTTTGGCCACTAATTGCCATTATTTCGACGCTACGCCGTTACCGTAAAGCCCGGTTACTTGTCCTCGGCTAATTTCTTCTATGCAATATCTTCTATGCTTCGGGAAGGCGCCCAGCCGTGTCAGGTCGGGGTTTGTGGGGGTTAGCGAAATGATTTCTTGAATAAAATCGTTAGCAGATAGCTGGCGATTGCACGTTTCCGACGATACGCGTCGCACATGGCCTGGTCCAAAACGGCAGCCTGGTTTGTGACAGTTTCTACAGGCGGGGCAAATTATGTATGGTCTTTCCAAACGCGTAACTCGGCCAGTTATGCGATTTTTGTCTTTTAAAGCCAGCGCCTTAATAGTAGTTATCCGTTCCTGTTATCTGTTACTTCGTCGAGCCGGGGGCTGCTTTGACCGACGGGGCGGGGGTCTTTTGGGGTGTATTGAATTCCGAGGCGAAAAGACTTTTGCTATATTAACACGCCATTTTTTTCCCGTGGTCAATTTTATCGCCTCCCCGGAATTAATAATTTCAGATATTGCTTCCAACCCCTCTTAAACACCAGTGTGTTTCCTCGTGTGTGTTTTTTCCCTTTCATTTTTACACATTTTTTCACATGGTACTAGAGTTACCGAGAGTGTATGATTGCAGATACAATCTAATGAGTCTGTATGAGGTTCACAGCCCGTGCTGGTAACGAACTCCATCCATCCCATATGATGGAGTGATACTGATTATGCTCACTTAAGTGGTATTTCTCGACATGAGCCAATGACGTAGCCTGAGCAAGAGGGCTCAGTCTGAGCTTTTGACGGTGCTTTTACGGACTGAGCCACTAAAAGGCCCTTTGGATATTCATTGAATGCTCAATGGTTCAAGTCAGCATCCTCCTTAGTGCCGCCCCCTCCCCGCAGCTGTGTCTGCCCATCCCTCGGATTCGTGGGAAGCAGCTGCTGTTGCCATTTGAGCCTCTTGTAGAGACTTCTGATGGAAACATCAGAGAGTGCTGTTGTGTGACCCTAAGGCATGGCAGCATTAATGTGCTGGTAGTCTCTCTCCTTTCTTGCTTATAATCTAATAGGTAATCTTTCTTATATATACACTTAATTCTATGGAGGAGGGGGGTATTGTGCTGTCAGTTATTTTTGTAATACTGCTGGACAACAAAGTCTCCCCTCCACTCCAACAGAGAGGGGGGGGGGGTCAAAGTCTTTTTATCATGTGGCTTTCAGCTTAACTCTCCCTTCCCCTCACAACAGGGTCCCTGACAGATGGAAGAAAGTTTGACTCTTCACGTGACAGAGACAAGCCCTTCAAGTTTAAGATAGGCAAACAGGAAGTGATCCGTGGCTGGGAGGAAGGTGTTGCGCAGGTGAGGGGGGGACCATCTTTAGGACAAGATGCAACAATGTCTAGTTTTAGTAAAGCTCATCTGATAATACACTGTTTTTTTAATGCCAACATTAAATGTAAATTTCCAAGAGAGCGCTAATACATACCAGCTGTCTTTCAAGAATAGTGTCATTTGTTGCATTCATAGTGAAGTTTTCCTGCATGTGTCTTCTGTTGATGGTCACATTGAGAGGCATTTTAATTCGGGCCTTTCAAAGTGTAGTGGCGCTTTTCAGTTAAAGCGATATGTAATGCAAGCTGTATATGAGTCACCATGCAGGCACACCTGTAAGGTCTGGGTGGGCCATTGCTTTTGCACAGAGTAAATTTTGTCTTTCATGCCTTCACTAATATTTCCAGCTCTGTAAATGATTCCTCCTTCATATACAGTACAATAAAATTGTGAGTTGGGGGTAGGGGGGGACTAGGACATGGTAGCATCAGTGCTGACCTGTATCAGAAGCGCACTTCCCTGACTCTTTGCGTTTCTTTTGAGCTGCAGATGAGTGTTGGCCAAAGGGCCAGGCTGACCTGCACTCCTGACTTTGCCTACGGCAGCAAAGGCCACCCAGGGATCATTCCCCCCAATGCCACCCTGATCTTTGATGTGGAGCTACTGAGCCTTGAGTGAATCCCTGTTCCTTCTACACCCATCCTGTCTCTTTCCACTTTTGGGCAAGTCCTTATGTCAGTCTCAATTTGCTGGATGACGTGGTTTTAAATATGATTTGGTTGCTCTATAGTTGCTGTCTTGATTGTGCTCATTGTATTTTTTTTTCCGTTGCAGGTTGACTCCTATCTTGAATATGGGGATAAAGCTAGGAGTGTTATGCACTTGTTTCTATAAAGGTCTTCAATCTATTTCCTTCTGTTTTGGTCATCTTATCCATATAGAATAATCTGCATTGTTTCTTTCTCCTACAAATAAGAAATCTATGGGCCATAACCTTACAAACCTCAAAAGTTCTTAATCTTGAATTGTGCTTTTGTTTTGCTTTTTTGTGTAAAATTTGTGCATGATCAAGCATACCATTGACACATTTTACAGCAGTGGCATGTCAAGATGTGTATAGATTTGCTTGTTTGCCCTAAATGCATTCAAAGACACAGTTGGGGGGAGCAATCTTAAACAAAATTAAAAAAGAAAAGCACAGATATGGTCTTGAGTGTTTCACCATGTCCAAGTTCTGAGAAAATTGACCTGTTTGGCTTGAAAGGTGTCAGGCTAATATAGGGCTTGGCAGAGAAAGTGAGATCAAGATGTAGTAATACAATCATTACCAACTGCCTTACCTGTACAGGGCAACTCTGAGCCTTTTAGATTTGCTTCTCATGTAATGATCCACTTTTAATGCCACCTCACCGAACATGACTGCCCTCTGCAGGCAACTGCACGCGAGTGTCGCACCATCTGAATGTGGTGCTGGGATCCCTAGTGCCTGACTGGAGAAATGCATTACTGTAACTGCAAAGCCATTTTATTGGGGGGGATCCACGGCGGGGTCGTCCCTGTGTAGAGATGCATATACATAACCATAAATACATTTAAACAAATGGGGTTGGGTTTGGTCTTTGGACTGGTGCTTATGGGAGGAAGGAATACAACCCAAATAGAATCTTAGCTGCAACCTTATCTCCACCATCCTAGTCCTGCAGTTGCCATGAGAAATTGTTTTCTGATGCCAACTTTAAATAAATACCAAATTAAGTTGTACATGCATTCTGTGTTGCTGAATTAGTCGGACTACAGTGCTCATGGAGTATTATGGTCTGGGTTGAGTCTGAAACCTGAAAATTAGGTGCAGAGAGAATAATAAACTGCTTAAGGAGAGTTCTGTGCCGTTAGGCCCTTCTAGGGCGGGGGTTGTCCCTTCAACCGCAGAATACTTATCTGAAATGTAATCGATGCTCAAGATCTGTAGTTCTCTGCCTGTCTGTGGAGGGTTTTGGCATCTTTATAGATGAATAAAAATGCAGCATGTGGCCTTTTTGCTGCAGCTGTGTGGGTGAGTGTGTTGAATTAAAAAGCTGGAAAATACAGGTTCCTACAATAAAGCACTTCCGGCACCCCTTTTTTTTTGTTTTTGGCACTGCACTGCGCTCTGTGGCAGCGTATTGGGGAAACATTCATCGTTACATCAGGGATTGCGGCGCTTTAGTCACTTCCATGTGGAATCGAATACGGGGCTTAATATGGTCAAATTGAAGTGTACCATACAGCTTTGGGTCTGGTGCAGCTACCATTTCAAACCTAATAGATTTGTGCCCTCATGGGTGGTAAAATCTTCACCAGGCATTTGTGTTTCAGCCATTTTGACAGTCTTGCATCTCTCCTCAGGGTGTCATTTCAGGTTTCTGTGTTTCGTGCTTCTCCATGGCCCCTCATTACATAATCAGAGCCAGGAAGCAGGAAAAAAAAAACGATTTCCATTGTTTTGGTATCTGTTGAGGGTTTTGTTTAAACAGGAAAGTATGTGTGAGGTCGGAATAATTTAGGGCTTTTCTTCTCTGTGGGATTCCCAACGTAACATAAGTTTTCCAATCCACAAGTCACATTGTTCTTTCCTCAGGAATGTGAACTTCCTTTTTTCTTCATCTCCTGCTCCTGTCATATTCTTTGCCACACTTTATAGCTCATATTTCTGCTTCCAGTCTCTCAGTTCTTCTATTTTTGTTCCTGGGATTGTTACATTTTCGACAAGGATCTAGGTTTTGCTTTGAGCCATAACCTGTATCATGCCTCCTTATATAGGTTCATAGTTTTTCCTTTTGCAGTACAAGATATTTCCTTGCTGAAAGACCCTGGTGTCCATAACCAGGAGGTTGGCCAGCTTGGCAGCTGTTAGCTGTTATTTCCCCACAGGAAACATGAAAGACAATGCAAGTTGTTGACTCGCTATGTGTGTTAATTATATCTTGGCAAGAAAACGCCTTATAAAAATCAATTGATACATGTATAATACACAATGTGTATTGAGATTTATTTGCTTTTGGTGTAAATTTTATGGGTTAGAGAGAGGATTTCTGTTAGGGTTGCAGCCAGGGTTAGGGCTGCATTTTGGGCTACAGCTAGTGTTGGGGTGGCTTTCAGGATTAGCATTGCTATTAGGGTAAGAGCTATGGTTTGGGTTATGGTTCCTATTAAGGTTAGGGATCCTATTGGAGTTAGATCTTGGGTTGAGGTTAAGGGTACTATTAGGTTAGACATGTTTTTTGTTTTGTTTTTACCGTTAGGGTTCAAGTTAGGGTTAGATAGTGTGTTGCCATATTGTTTTTGGCAAGCTTAATTAGCTTCCTGGCCAAATTAAACTACTACAATTTTAAAATCTCTGCTTATTTTGAAACAATACCCACCCCACACCAGGAGGAGGTGTATGCCATTGTAGGACACGTACCACCAGAGGTGGGTAGAGTAGCCAACATCTGTATTCAAGTAAAGTACTGTTGCTTAAATATAGCAGCAACTCTAGTAGGAGTAAAATAACTCAACAGTGTCACTACTGGAGTAAGACTAAGAGTATCTAGAAAAAAGGCTACTCAAATACAAAATCTGAATTTGTAATTAGCAAACAGTACAATTACAGGGCTGCCCAATCAACGGCACGGCCAATCAAAGAACAGCATCTAAAATTAAAATACGCCCTACCAGTCAATGAAACGTGAATAAAAAACCTTACACGTCTTTGATAAATACAATGTGCAAAGGGAAGCAGGGTTATTATAGTATTTGTGTTGAGATTCTTTTATTTTTGTACTACTTTCAAATTTATCTCACATTTCACTTCAGTTTTAATTAGTTACTACAACACCTTTGTCACATTTCAGTTTAGTTATTTCATTGGCACATTTCCATTTTCTGTTTTTATCTTCTTCACTGAGACGTGTATGCAACCAAATTCCAAAGCATGCTTTATAATGTGTACGCACTTCAAATGAACTCGGATGAATTCAAATTGTTACGACAGAATGCAAACAAACAAAAAGAAAGACATTTTAAATGAACTATGTTTATGAATGCTTCCCATACATAAAATTGCTTTTGTCAGCTGCAAATTCGAAATGAGCTCACACAGGAATCTGGCATTTCTTAACAGCCATACTGACTAGGGATACTGAGCTAGTGATTCTTTTTATCTAAATGTTTTCATTTTGAGAATCAATTCTAACATTCAAATTTTAAATATTACCTGGTAAGTTAAATGTTTATATTATTATAGGGAACAGGACATACTATTGGACAGGGCTGACCATAATGGGGGAGAGAGGCGAAGGGGCCCAAACACTAGGAAAACAGAAAGATCAGTCTGCCTGCATATTATCAGTTATCATCAGATCACCCCGATTTTTGGGCAGCATGAGGCAGTGAATACTGGAACGAGACGAAGCTCAGTGGTATTGCTCATCCCTAATGCCAACTTATTTAATATTCTATTGCGACTTGTGGAACAAGAGTTTGGGCAGGTTGTAAAATCTGCAAACTGCAATCTGATTGGCTGATGACATGCAAAGCTGTGCTGTTTTTTCCCCCCAATTTTGTTGAATACGAAACTTAAAATTAATTATTTACATTTATTAGGTAGTTTTTCAATCTCTACTGTTAGTTTTGTTTATTTTCAGTTTTTCATTTACTCAAGATTATATTATTTAGTTTACGAAAATATTTTTGAATTGATAGTTTTCGTCTTACTTTGTTATCACTTCCCTGATGAGAAGCGGTGTCATACATAGGAAAACCACGGCACTCAGGGGATAGATAGCGGTCGGCCAGTGCCCAAATAAAATCTAAATTCAAAGTTAGTAACATCAAAATGTGAGAGATGCGGGAGAAAGTAGCGAGATGACTGTAGCCAAATGTAATGGGGTTAAACGACGCATTTATTTTTACAGGTTCACTTGAGTTAGAGTGTAAAGAATTCACTTTACAAACAACTAGTTGAAGAACTTTTTTCCCCCAGAAAAGTTACTCAAGTAAGTGTAGTGGAGTAAGCGTAATGTATTATTGCCCACCCCTGCCTACCACTAGCTAGTTTCCTGCAGGTCTACGAGTTTCCACCCCCAAGACCTTGGACCATTAGTTATTTTGGGAGGTGCTAGACCATTTTGGTTCCAGGTTACTGGCAATGCTGGCCATCTGAGCCGCAGATATGTAACTAAACTAAGCTGGCTTCCCTACCTTAAATACTCCCACATGGAACACGGAATTAGGGTTAGAACTAGGGTTATGGCTACGATTGCTATAAAGGGTAGAATCAGGGTTTGGGTTGGTGTTATGGCCAGAACTAGGGATAGATTAAGATAACATAAAACAAGATTGTGACAAGTCAAATAGTCTTTTATTAATATAAGGCTTAAGGCTACCGGACGTGTCCGCTCGAACGTTTTTGACGCGTTTGACGTCATTATGCGCTCAGCGGACGAACGCTTGCTGTACTCCAAATTTGTGTCCGCGCTGCGCAAGATCGATTCGCTAGCGTCCACTTTAAATACCATCATGTTTTAACGAGCGTTGGGGTAATTTGCAAACCCTACAGGCTATTTACAAGGGAATAAAACTGTTACGTACATGTAAATGCATGTGTATCTGTGTGTAGACTTGTCCCGCATTGAAAATCTCACCCCAGCTAGCTGACCAATGTTGGCAACGTTGTGACCTGGCTCTCTTAATTTGTAAAACACAGAGAAACGGACACAAACCTCACTGCTGTGGTATGTGTGCAGGGAATATCAGAAGAATAATTTCTATTATTATCATTAAGAAAAATATAAATTAAAAACGTTGTGCGCATGTGCAAAGTACGCGGCTTGACCGTAGAAGTATGAACGTTTCCGCAGAGTGGATACGCGAGTGTCGCGCCTGTGTGGAGAAGTATGAACCAGCCTTTGCTCATCAAAACTTAATTCTTTCTTAATTCTTAATTCTTTCTGGTAAAAATAACATTCTTTTAAATTTAAATTGCACAGATCTGAAATCCAAATCCAAAGTCTGAAAAGATTCAGGGTTGCTATTAGGGGGAGACCTAGGGTCATGGTTCGGCTTGCCTTAAGGGTTAGGGCTAAGGTTGGGGTTTGGGTTCCTAGTTAGGGTTAGGTTACCTTTATGTTTAGACTTTTGTTCACTGTAAGGCTTTTCATTGGGATGCTGGGTAGCTTTACTATTGTGGTTATGTCTTGGGTTACTTTTTTTTTAAACTACTAATTATGAATGTAAAAGCCATTTCTGTGTTATACAATGCCAGCAAACCTTTTCTCGTACACAAAGTTCCTACATGGTCATCAACATATATCCCACAATTAAATAGTTCTTATTATTAAAAATTCCAGTTATTCTTGTATATTTACATTATTTTTTAAAGCAGTATGCCCGTTTCTTACATCATTTAAATTATACCATATTGTTTAACATTTCAGAGCAAATCATAACTTATATCATTCAATTTATACATATAAATATATGACCTGGTAATTTTTTTACAGTTCTTGTGTCTTGTCTGCCACCTTGTGGTTTAATAGTATCTATAAACAGCCGCAACAACCAATCCTGAGGTGTGTCAGTCTTGAAAGGTCCTGATGAATTAATAATGATTATACCTGAATTATTATCCCAGAATCTTTTTTTGTTATGGTTGCTCTTTCAAATTTGATCAACCCTGTTTTCCTTGCTTTATCATATGCATCAGTATGTATGATCCATTAGCATTTTTTGTGTGAATTATCATTCTCCTTTTTTGCCCTTTATTGAAAAGCAAGGTTTTCATGGCATCATCAGAAAATTTTGATTTGGATGGCCATTAGGGGCCGGTTATATTTTTGAGGGCAGCTGCACTGTGCCATATCTATTCTTTTTAAAAAAAAATCTCTTCATTGGGGTTTTACACTGGCACATTCATATAGTAGACGAAGAAGTACAATGTAACAGCATTAGCTCCAGATGCTAACTGCTAACCATGCCCAAATCTATTCAGTTCTCCAAATCCTTAAATCTGTCGCTCCCCCCACCCACCCCTACCATTACCATACCCTCAAACATCAAATAGGAAGGTGAGGGACCAGGAATTGAGAAGAGATAAAAGGGGAAGGGAAAAAAGTCACATGTTAGAGACCCCCGCTAGCCTAACTGCATGTCTTTGGTCTGCAGGAAGAAACTGCTGCAGCACAGGAAGAACATGCAAATTTCACACACAGAGCAGGGGTGGGACCTCCCAGTGCTGGAGGTGTGAGACAGTGTGGCACCAGACACTGAGGCACCAGCTCCAGGCCCCCCCCCCCATGACCTGGAGGCCCAATATTTCTAGCAGTGCCCCTGCCTCCACACCTCACAAAATGATTAAAATCACAAAAACACGTATCTATCATTTAACGTATCGAAGTAGAAGGATTTTATCTTCTCAGTCATATGTGGGAAAAATATTAAAAATCGTGACTTAATATTCACAGTAGGATGTCACTAAAATTATTTTTAAACAATTATGCGTATTACAGTCAGCAATTTTGGGTTGATGCCTAATATATGTATATATGCACAGATATTTTGAGGGTCGTGATGCAAAGTGGGTTAAGGCCAGCTGGCCCTTGTATCTCTGAATGATAGATGCATCATTAGGAGAAGGACATTATTAGTAGAGTATTTGTATATTAGATTTCACAGATCTATCTTTGGACAATAAACCTACCCGTAGTGGCCTTCTACGTTGCTACCCATAGGTTTTAATGTTCAACGCCTCTCCTCTCTTTAACAACATGGTCTGTATAATGCATTTTGATATGTGCCACAGTCTGTAAGCAGTCTTATTGTCCTTCGTGTACCAATGTGATGTTTTCCAAAACAGACAGTTTGTCTTTACCTCACTTACATGCCTTGACAAGGATTTAACAGTTAGCTATTGTGAGGATGACATGACAGCACACACAAAGGCATAGCTATGCAGGATACAGGTCATATTCATGGGAAGATGAATGAAAATTTCAGCCCAAACTTAGATTTTACCAAGGTAAGCAGTGCAAACCATATTACACTGCTTTGGATGAAAGTTTCTGTGAAATAGAAAAGTATAATAATCAGACACACAAGGAAGAGAAACAGCATTTGAAATGCTTTATTTATTCATTCATTCAGATATTTACATCCTTGCTGCCATCTTTTTGCCATGCAGAAACAGTTTTTGGATGACAAAGCGCACAGTACAAACACGACAACCTGTGCCAACACAACACACGTCAGCATGGAGTATCTGCGTGAAGCAGCAGAGGAGGCCTAACCTCGGCACGTATTCAAACGAACGCCGTCACTCACAGGAGGGTGGGATGTGCAGGATTTCAGCTTGCTGGTATTTACACCCATTTATTACGCGTCATTGTATTTCCGTATTTGCATTACATTCAATATTTTATATAGCTAGTTTTCACGGAACACAGGGGATAAAAATAGTTGCTCTTTGGAGGTTTTGCGATGTTACAACTTCACCTTAAGCAGAACTATGATATAGTGCAATCAAAGAATAACATTAACATTTTTACATTCCTGCGTATTATACAATATTTGGTCTTTTCAACTCTGTTGCAGTTTGGTTTTATATACAGATGGAAAAAAAATGTTTTGGCCAATATTATTCAGGATATTTGTACATCAGGGCCAATAACAAAAGTCCGCGACCAGCCACAGAAACACATTAGTCCTGCGCTATCGAACCAAAGTGCTAGACAAAAGCAAAAATAAACAGACAGAAATAATAACTGGCTTACTACTATTGTCATCCGCCTCATTAGGTGTGTTTCTTTTACTCACAAAATATCTGTCATTAATAGGCACTGAAAAGCAACACTTTCTTTTATTAGACAATGCCCTTAAACACCACAAATGGCAATTCGTGACACGCCGTGGCGCTTGTGCTAAAAGGTGTTGTTGAACCATGCAGTGATGCGCTGCTGGGCGACAGAGATGCAATGAGTCCGTTATCATCCCACCCAATTATGCAAATGCAGCTGCAGACTGCACTGTGCCTTTTGTCTACAGGATAGACTATTCAGAGTCTAGGGACATGGGTTACCAGTGTGCTAATTACATAATTACTGTTCAACTGGAAATGAGGGATGGTTAAAAACTACCAGTCATGGTGAGATGAGAAAACATTTAATGTTTAATGGGTCAAGAGTTCATGGGGCAGCTTCAGATAAACTCAAATAAACCCTAAAAATATACCTCACATATAGGTTATACCAAACATATACCAAACAGATTCTTTCATTTAATGTCTTACTCTTATGAGGCACAAATTTGCACAGAAAACTGTACGGGGGCTGCTTTCCCTTTAAATCTGTGTTACCCTGCCCCGAGCTCCGCCCCCAGCCCCCCCCACCCGGCGCAGTGAGTGCATGGCCAGGGCGCAGCAGCCCCGCAGCAGCGAGCCAATGTTGCAGACGGGATGTCCCACTCTGCGGGGGCCGCGGCACAGCCAAGCCACAGCTGGCACTATGGGAATGCCCACCGCCAACAGGTCCACCAAGAAGTGCCGGCCCCAGTAGCTATTCGGGGGACGTCTTGCCGCCCCCATGGCTTCCTCCTCATCCTCCTCCTCTTCATCCTCCACTACCTTCACAGTCGTGACCTCCTGCGGACGTGGCTCACTTTCGCGCTGCTGTGTTTCCAGCTGCAGCTTGATGGCGCTCTCAGGGGATGGAAGCTGCATGGTGCAGGAGATGGCGGCGGGTGCCGGCGAGCCGGCGATGTCAGCCATGTGGTCACCCTCGCTGACGGGGCTGGGGGTCTGCAGCATGGTATCCGTCTGCACGGCCTGCTCACACAGCGGGATCGGAGGCAGCGGCTGCAGAGGCGATTCGGGGTCTGCCTCAGCCAGGAGGGTTTCCAAGTCCGCCCGGCTGCCCTCGCCCACGAAGCCGCTATCCAGGGTCTCCTCGCCCGACAGGCCATCTCGGTCTGGCAGTGCCTCGCAGCTCAGCTTGGTGTAGGTGGAGCTGCGGGTGAGTGAGCGGGCCGGTGAGCTGCCGTGGGAACGTGCCTCTTGGCTCAGCTCCATGCCGAGCAGCAGTGACTCCAGCTTGCGGTTCTGGGCGCTGATGTCTCGGAAGCCGCGATGCACGGCTGTTCCCGTGCCCTCCCCCATGGCCACACCCTCGTCTGCACCCGCCGGCACGCCCAGCTGGGAGCGCACCGCCTCCACAACCCGCTGCAGCTGTTGGATCTCCCTGCGCGCCTCCTTCAGCGCCAGCTGCACCTCCACGCGGTGGCACTCCTCCTCCACCCAGTCCTCCTGCATCCGCCACAACTGTACCCGGAGCTCCTCCACTTCGGCATCTCTATTAGGGAGAGACAATAGGGGGCGCAGTGGTTTAGGGGCCAGACGAGACTGAAAGGTTATGATTCCAGATGCCGGGAAACACCAGGAAATTTCCGAATAGAACATCCAGCTGTTGGGCAAGATTCAGATGAATCCAATATACAGAGTCATTATCAGTAATTTGTTTACTCATGTGGTTAGCTAATCATCATCACTCGTTAATTTAATGGTAATTCACGGTGCTGCAGTAGCCTTGGTTAGACTAAGCTGTGAGCAGCAGATGATGGCATGCATAATTTACAGCCAAATCTCTGTTTAAATAATTCAGGGTTTTCAGGTTTGGCATGTTACAAAGAATTCCACTTTTCCTACAAAATTGCTTTAGTGCATTTTCGTTTTCTTTAAGCCAGTTGCCATAATTAATATTATGAATTGAAAGTTATGAAATCTGAATTATTGTTAAACAGGACTGTAACCATGGCAATATAACCATGGAAACATAATTATGCTCTGGATGAGTGGGAGGCTCTGCCTTAGCTGAATACTATGAAAATGGTAAATAAATGAATCCATCCATCCTTTCTTCAAGACCGCTTATCCAACGAGGGGTCACAGTGAGCTTGGAGCTGATCCCAGGAAGCAAGAGTTAGGGGAACACGCCTGGATGAGATGCAATCATCCAGGGGCACATACTGTAATTTTGAAATGTATTTAAAAGTATCAAAAGAAATAGCATTCAGTCTAAATTAACTACTTAACTGGGAACAATGTCTATCAGCTTACAGGGTGATCTTGAGACTGCGGCTTATAGGGCTGGCAGTTTTCAACCGATATTGGAACATTTTTTCGAGCATGATGTGAAAGATTCATGTACAAACTATAAATTAGCCCATTCGAATTTTAAAGTGTCACTGCAACCTGTAAGTGCATTCGACCATTTATTGTAATTGTGTTGTCTGCCATCTATGGAACCCCTTAAAGGTCAGGGTGGGGAAATATTTTTTGAAATACTTTTGTGATCCCACTGCACTTGCCCACTTGCTATTTGCTGCAACGTGAAAGCATGGATAGATGAGCTTTAAGCATTAAAATATGGGGGACACCATGTAACTTTAATATTGTGTTTTAATACAGATTTATTAATAATTACACTGTGTCCATTCACTGGCAGTGACTTTAAGCAACACAGTTGGGCTATTGAACGTGAAGTGCACGCACAAACACTGGACTATATTATAAACAAAGGAAAATATTACAGTCAGAAAACTGCATATAAAGCCAACTTTACTGCCGTTTTGGAGTTAAGGTTTAAACTCTAATCCGCAATCTGGAATATTTCGGTACAGACCTGCATATCCCAGAGAGGTATACCCGTGAGTGAGTTCGGGTTTAAACCATAACTCACACCGCGGGGAGCTTTATATTCAGTTTTCCGGCTGTAATATCTTTCAACAAAAGCAACACCCCTTGGTTTTTCTGATTTCTTTAATTTTAATATTTCAATGTTTGTGTCTGCACTTCACGCTCAATAGCTCAGCTGTCTGGTTGACAGTTCCTGGCGGTGAATAGACACAGTGCAATTAAAAATAAATATGTACAAAAACACATATGAAAGTTACATGGTTTGCATTGTCCGCCATAGTTTAATGCTTAAAGCACACATAACTGGACAAGTCCTGTTAAGTGTCACCTGTCCTGGAGCTTTTCCACGTTCTCCCGGAGCCGCGCCCGCAGGTGTCGGATGCAGACTTCCTTTTGCTGCAGGGGAGTGAGGTACTGCTCTGGGGCGGGTGGGTGGATGCCGTGGTTGTCACTACAGGATGAGTTGTACTTCACGTGACGCCTTGGAGTTAGATAGGGAGTGAGGGTTAGGGTAAAACATTCGCTATGTAAATTCAGTGGCTATAAAAGGTATACACACCTCTGTTAAAATGCCAGGTTTTTCTAATGTAAAAAATGAGAGCATTGATAAATCATTCAAAACGTTAATAAGGGGATCTCACTGTTTAAAGTTATCAGTCAGGGGAAGGTTCCAAAAAAATTCCACAGCATTAGATATACCATGGAACACAGTGAAGACAGTCAGCAAGAAGAGTCGAGAACACAGAGTACAACAGTGACGTTACTGGAAGTCCCTTCAAAATTGATGAAAAGACAAGATGAAAACTAGTCAGATTTATCGTGGTCTTGTTTTTTTTTTTTGCATCATAAAAACCTGGCATTTTAACAGGGATGTGTAGCTACTGGGTGAGAATGCTGACAATGTCCTCTATACTGATAACCTATATGTATAAGCTAAGCTAGTCGTCTTCTTATACCAGCCAGTAGAGTTTTTTTCTTCCTCTAATATCTGCATGCTACTGCAATTCACAAGAATCAGAGAGTGTGACATTTCCATCATGAGTGTGGGATTTTTGCTACCTTTATCTATGTGTGTGTGACCTGTATCTAAGGCTCTTTTTAGAATGCTCAGTGCTATGTTATGGCCTCATAATTACATATACCTTACCTGGGTGTGCTTGGGTATGGGCCAGATGTAGGGCTGGCATCACTGCCCTTGCAGGAATTGCTGCTACTGCTGAGTGTGGAGTTTGCATAGGTGTCTCTTGTGTTGACTGTTCCAGTTGACCGTCTAGTGCAAAGACATCAACAGACTCATGACACGTGGCAAGACAAGCGGCACCCACAAAACTGAAGATAACTTCCCCCTCTATCCCACCCCCCAACAAAATTAAACAGTCATATCTACAAAAGTAAAAGTCTGAAGTAGGGTATTACACAGTGCCTAAGGAACATAGGCAAGCTGGAAGGTGTAGGTGATGGCAATGACTTAGAAGAACAGGCATGGAAGACTAAAGATGAGGATGGTGGATGTTGGTGTGAAGAGGTGTGAGGACAATGGAAGGTGTGAGCAGGGTGCACGCGGCTGAAACAGAGAGACGCTAACCGGTAGTGGTGCTCCGGTGGCTGAGGAGACAGCGACCCACGATTTGGGCGCATTGAAATCATATAGCCTTCCATGGGAGAGAAGGCCAACTCTACCAACCTGAAACAGTCAAAACTTATAAGACAAGAAGAGGAATCAGAACCTAAGGACATAATGTTTTGTACAAATGTATTGCCACACACTCTTGTCAAGTGTCTTGGGGCAACAGTGTTGTGAAAGGCATTATCCATCCATTGGCCATACTCGCTTGTCCTTTGGAGGTTTTCAAGAGTCCAGAGTCTATCCTGGAAGCTACAGGTGCAAGGCAGAAAATATCCCGTAATGGGGTGCCAGCCCATCGCAGGGCACACACTCCATTCATACCTGTGGGCGATTTGGTAACTCCTATTCACCTTAGCATGATTTAGGACTGTGGGGGGAAACCGGGGAACCCAGAGGAAACCCCAAGACAACACAGGGAGAACATGCAAACTCGGGGTGGGGACCCTGCTCTCCAGAGCTGTGCGGCAACAGTGCAAGGCATTGCACCAACGTACCATCTTGAAGGGGGCTACATAAACTAAAGTAAACTGAATATTTATTAAAATGGGTACACAAGGGATGTTATATAAAAGTGGGAATCGTGAAGGAACTATTGGATTTGTTCCTGGAGCTTTCCCCCTAGAGTTCAGTGAATCATAGGTGAGAAATATCTAAAAAAATCAAGATGAATGCCATACGAAAACAGACCACTGTCTGACACAGCGCCAAAGATTTTCAGAAGGCTGCTGGAAAGCTATGGAATAAATTAAAGACAATTCTGTCATCACACAGAACACTAATCAGAAAAGGAGTGGAATTATCCAGCCTATCCTACTACCACGTACTTGTTCCAATGTTGTTAGGGATGTTTAATTGAGTGTTAATAAGCTGATTCATACACCATTTAATAACCCCATTATGGCAATGTGTGAGTAGCAAGAGCTTCCCTCAACCAAATGCCAACGAAAGAAGAGAAGCTCACGGGCCAAAGCTAGGTCTCTCCAAGTGCATTTGAGAGATGCATCAGTGTGTTTTCTCAAAATCCAAGGAAAGATCTGCAGCCTTCCTCTTTTCTCCTAGACATGACCCTGGAGTTTCGCTAATTTTCATGTTGCCACGCTGGGAAACCTGGAGGGTAGAGCAGCTGCCTCTCTATTTGATAGCCAAGCTATGCCCAGTGGGATGGATCATGCCAGGTAGTCTTCCTGCTCCCTCCATCAAAGCCTTAAAGGGCAAAGGGTGGGGGAGGAGTGCTGGAAGTCAAATTAGCCCATGGGACTTCTGCTAAGATCCAATCAATCTGCTTTCAATCATGCCTCATTTAAGCTACTGATCCAGATTTAAAATGACTGACATCATGTGACATAGCACTTTGGAGTAGGTCTCCACAGTAATGGATGAGAATGGAAAAGGTATTCAATCCTTTTTTGTACTTAGCTTCCCATTCATCTGTTAATCTGTATTGATTGCCCCTATGCTGTATCTAAGGGCAGCAAATGGTTTTTTGATTCCACATCCACAAATCCACATCCTCCTTGGCAGAAATGAGCCGCTTTGGTGATTTCCAGACATAGGAGAAACCCACTGAAGTGAAATGAGGAGTGAATTGGATTGAAGGTTTTGTTACTGACCCAGGTCTTCTGAACAAAGGCTGTTGACAGCCACACAGCCCAGGTAATATCATAAAGTCTTCCTAAACATGTGACTAAGGAGTGAAAAATGGCCAACTACTGTAAAAGGAAAAGTGTAAAAATATCCAAGCAGCTTATAGTAGTCTTGTTATCCTGACATGAGCAACCAGTGACAGGAGACGACAGGCTTAGATACACATGGGGTGAGTGGAATAATGGGACTGACCAAAGTAATCAGTAACCTCACCTACAGTGAAGCCTTCCTTCTTCAGTCACTACACCAAGAAAATACTGCCTTCTTTATAATTCATAGCAACAGCAGTGTGCAATCTAATGCTTGTCTGATTCTTCAACAAGCTTTAGTGGAGACACAACTGTGGCAGGGAACAACAGGCTGAAAATGAGGACAAAGGAGAAATCGCTATATCTCCGCAAAATACTGTTGAAGCACCTGGAATAGGTATACTTACATCATATGGGATGTATTTGCGTTGCTGTGATGTGAGAAGGAGATTAAGCCTGAAAATAGGCTCAACGCCAGTTTATAATGCAAGTGGAACACAAGAAAGCACAGGCCATAACGGAAAAAAACCAACGCAATTCGCCAGCCAGATTCGTTAAGATCCAATTCGGCTTATTCGATTCATTTAACGCGGGGGTACTCAACCCTAATCCTGGACCAGCAACCAATACCACAAATAATTCAATCAGTTCCGGTTTCCCAGACGCGTGAAAATAACGTATCTTCAGATCAGACAAATATGATGGAGTATAGGAAGGTACTTCTCAAGAACAGCACGAAACATCGGGCGTTAAAACCTATATGTGTGCTGGTGCTTTTTGCGGTTTTCGCTTCAAAACAAAGAAGATACCATATAGCATACATATATGCAAAAACAGCAACAAAACAATAAAACCTGATGGGAATTTTCCCTAATATGTTCCAGCGTACCAAACTAAAAGACACTCCCCATAAACGGTTGTATGCAGCCCATTCTCGGCACCCTAATTTATTTAATCTGTCAATACATTGCACTATACCCCACGATGCTACAGCATGTACCAGTGAGTTGTATTACCCACCCAGTTCTTCGCGTGTTGTATGTAGTTGCTAGGTGAAGATATTTATGTATACATACACCGATTTCCCAATGAGCCACCCACAAAGCGCCGACAAAATCCTAGTAACCTTTACCTGTTTTCTCCACGGTTCAACGAATACACCACTCATATGGCAGACTCTGCCCAATGAAGACAGCTGTGTAAGCGCCGTCACAGGTGGCTTCAGACACAGAAATGCAGCTCGAAACCTACATGTGACTGCACAGTGTCACTAAACAGATGCGTCCCTAACATTACGTTTCTTAAAGAGACAGTGACATCTATTCCGTTTTGTCTAAGGAATTGTAAAGATGCTATGCGTCAAATACACAGCACATCAATGATGTTAATTTTGCAACTAATTTGTAATCTGTAATTCTGACTGTAAGTCATGTAACAGCAGGTTTATTATATTTAACGTTATAGATTATAAACTATAATTCTAGCTACATCATCACACCAAATTTTCCCAATCCAGATCTTGCATCTTTGTCATCATTACTGTATAGCTGACAGAATAAGTACTTAATTCTCATTAGTGCTGACAGAATACAAATTATAGATCAATTTGTAACATATTCAAATTTGTAAGAAAAAGTTCCTGACAAAGTACTATGGTTCCAGTTTTGCTCTCAGTGTAAAAATGTTTTCTTTTGTTTTGGTTTTGTTGTATACTTGCAATAATATGGGAATAATGTGATTTTTTTGTTTAATAAGCTGTACTCTTTTGTCCAGAGTATAGAAAATGTCAATATTGTATTAAATTCTCAGTTCAGTTTCAGACTGGCACATCACATGTGGGAAATGACCATGAAGAGGAAGATAACAACCATCACTAAGGTGGATGGACTCAGTTATCACAACAATTAACATGATGATTGGAAGTCCAAAGCCTCAAAATTACAGGGCTGGAGGTAAACTATGTCACCAGGAGTCAACCATGCCCTGACACTGCATAAGAGCATATATAAGAATTATCTCTACGTGCTCAACAGTAACTATCAACATGATATTTTTGCAGAAGAAGTGCAATTTCAGTCAAATCTCAGGATTCATTTTATTTTAATAAAACATCTGTAGAGGAACTTTCTAGCCTTTGGTGATTAAAAAAACCTGAAGTCATATGTGTTTAAAAAAGTTCTTAGAACAATACAACAGTGCATACTGTGACAAAAAAGAACACATACACAGAGTGGAAGTACAGTTTAAGTGCAATCAGAACGATGTGTCTGGCCTTCTACTCTGCAGGCCTGAGTGTGCCAACGACATCAGCATAGGGGGTATCCTGGTGCAGCTCCAGCATTCCCCGCTTCTTCAGCACCAGCAGGCAGAAGAAGGTGGTGGCAGCCATTGTGCGGTTACACCCCTTGCACAGCTCATGCAGGCCGAACACAGTACTGCCACTACTCTGCTGATTCTGCTGACGACGACAAAAGGACACCTTTGCACACGAGACCCAGGAGGACATGACTGGACTGATCTGACTTGGATCTGAATAGCGTATCAGTGAGATTTATGTTACTCGTGCAAATGATCCACAAACTTTATTTGTAATGTAATTGTTAACAGTTTTAATGCATGTTTTCCCAGTTTTCCCCCCATATATAAGTGCAACAGATCATTTGCATAACCGACACAGCATCTTACTATTTTTGCTCGTTTATAAAGCTGGAAGTTTTATTTATGCTAATTACATTAAGTGCATTAGCTTGGTAAATGAACTAGCATACATTAGATATAAGGTAAAGTAACAGTAGGTGTACATGTAATGTCAGTACTGTGGCAAAGTCATATGAAATACATAATGTTCAAATCTATCAAGCAGCCAACTGAAAAAGCATATTTGTTATGCCTCACTTCTACCACCTGCAATATTCTATACACTTTTTAAATTCATGTATTATTTCTCTGGAGGGAACTATTTTGCTGGTAGTTATTTTTGTCATGCTGCTGAGCAAGAAAAACGCCCCCTTGGGGAATAATAAAGCTATATCTTATCTTTAAGGCATAGAGTCATTGGGAGGAAGCAGTTGGACAGACATTATATTGGCCTTTCTACTGTCTAATCTAACTTACCCCATACCTTTAAATTTCCAACTCACAATTTCTGTTTACATCTCTATCCCACAAGATTTCTGGGTTATTTTCTGAAAGGCTAAGAACCAGTTGTCCTTCTTCCTTTTTATTTAAACACTGGCTGATAACAACAGAATATATATTGGTATGTATTGGTACAAAGGTACCTTGAGATGCCTTGCAGCTATTAAGCATATAACAGGGCTGCATCTCACTGAAGTTCTTCTTGAAACAAGAAGAAAATTGTCAGAGAAAACAGATGGCATGGGATCTATTTTTGAAAATAGTTTAACTACAATAGACCATTCTTCTTAAATATAATAATTTCTTGACCAAAAGTCAACTGTGTACTGCTTGCACTTTTGTTGAGAAGTACCTCCAGAAGCAACATAAATCCTGCTGATGCACCATGCCTTTTAGAACTGCAAGCTTTACTTAGCTTATTTAGTGTCAAGAAGGCAAGGATTGTGACAGGTGTGACTTATCAGCTTGCCACAATTGTAATACTTAAATCAAATATCTAAATTTAAATGCAGATCTGAACCCTCTATTTTAAAACAAGTTAATGGATAGTGTGAACTTTTTTCTCTGTAGCTAGTAATTCTCGGTAATTAACTTCATTATTTGTGTTTTTCCTCCAAAGTTCCTGAACTCACAGCAGAATATGTAGTTTAGTAAAACTGGCAGATATACAGACTGCTTCAAACTACAATAGACTAGTATTGTTAAAAGTAAATCATGATTGTTTTATGTAGAGATCAGTTTTTCTAACAAAGTCTCATGGCATATCCTGCAGAACAAAGGATACTTCTGACTAATTTACTTCATGTCTACACAGTCTACATTATATATATTATATTATATAGTCTATATATATTATACAGTCTATATTATAACTACTGTTAAAGTGAATATGTACTTCCATCCTTTAAATACGGCAGGGACCCCTTTCTAGAGTCATCACTAATCATTCACTTTTCTGAGAAGGTCAAACAATTGGATTCCAAAACCCTAAAAGGCTCCCTCATCTAACCAAAGGAATGTGCCGAAGAACTACACGAGTGCTAGATTATAATGTTTCACACCCTTACTCTGAGGAAGTGTAGTAGACGATGTGTCCTGTGGTTCATCAACTTCTCCTCAAAATCTTGACTGTTCACTGTGGACTGCTCTGGCCAATCCTAAACAAAGGAAAACAAAAACATTCAGGGCTTATGTGTAAAGAAACATTCACGCAGCTCTTGTGTGTGTCAGTAGTTGAATCCTTGAGTGATGCAGACAGGAATGTGGCACAGTACCTGGGTATGAATTGAGTCTGGCATATTTGGAAGTAGTAGGGAGTCCTCAGGTAGCATTTCTGGGAATGTGAATACTGTCCTACTTTCTTCCTGTGACAGAAAGACAAAATCAAGTAAAAAGACAAGAGAAAGTAATGTGTGGATATGCGAGTTGAAAGACAAATAGAAAAATAGTGATGATGTTATTTTTTCCAATTACATCCATGCTGTTGCAGTGTGATGGAGATGAGTTGTGCTCTTCAGAGGCGATCAGAGGCAGATAACCAAGGCTGTGTTTGGTGGAGTCCAGATCCAAAATCCCTGATAGGAGGCCAGTGTTTTCAGCAGCCAGCATGCTTTCATTAACTCCTGAGGAAAACACAAGGATGAGGAAAGGGGGATTATGAATCAAGTAATCATTCAAGTCAGTAAGACAGGTTGATCGGCGACACATTTCCAGTCCATCATTACTTCCAACCCCCCAGATTGGCCAAAAATTAACCTAACTATCAAAGGGGACTCCTCCCCGGTTGGCAAAATATACCATTGTGACTCAGCAGCTTCCCTGGTTATTTTTTTTGGAAAAGTCGCTCTCAGTGCAAAAAAAAGGTTGGACACCACAGATATAAATCAGTTAATTTATATAGTACACAATGCATTTTAATGCAAATGCATAGGAATGCAGTTTTATGGTACGCTGTCTATTTTATAGTATTATCATTGAATGGATCGTAAGAAAAAAAACAATAAATATGCCTCACCTGACTGGTCCCTCATCTCCTCCCAGTCTTGCTCCCTGTCTCTCTGGTTTTTCCACCATTTTGTTGACATCATATTTCTGGGAAATAGCTGTCAAAACAGGCAAGGCTGCTCTACCAAGACACACTGCACCACTACAGACTACTTTTTATTAAACAAAAATAACTCATTTAATATGTACACTCGGTGGACACTTTATTAGGCATGCCTAAACAGTACAGAACCACTTCAAGGGCTGGCAGATGCACTCAAGATGCCTTTTTGTGCACCACTGTTTTACTGAGCTGTTGTTTTTGCACCTGTGGTCTTCCTGTTAGCTGACCATTATCCTCTGACCGCTCTCATTAACAAGATTTATTCACCCACTTACCTGCTGCTGACTGGATGTTTTTTTGTTTACCGCACAGTTTTATTTAAACTGTAAACACTGCAGTACATGAAAATCCCAGAAGGGTAGCTATTTCTGAGATGCTAAAACCATCACATCAGATGGGTAATCATATCAATTGTCCTGTGTGGCGTATGTATTCATTGCAGCCATATGATTTGCTATTTGGAAGAATTGGTTGTTTGGGTGCATAAGAGGTACCTAATAAAGTGGCTACTGTGTGTAAAAATGTGCATAACACATAGAGCATGTATTTATTTAGGGTAAACAGGTGAACAAAATCCTTTGCAAATGTATAAAGGAGTATTTATTTTCTGTTGATTGGAGAAAGGTTCTGGTCACAGGTGTGAATAGATAAAGTAATTCATTTCCGGGTTATTGTCTTAAGTAAACATCTTGATGGCAGCTGACTGTTACCTGTTGGAGCTGTGGGTGTATAACAGGCACACAGAGATGGCGGAACAGTCTGTGCACCCCTCCAGTCATCTTCCACTCCATGAGCTGACGTGTGGGTGGAGCTATGCTCAATGGCAGCAGGAGGTCGGAACAGTCTCCGATCTGGCTGCGAATCGCCTCGTTGGAGAGCTCCTTCACAGAATCCACCAGCAGCCGTCTTTTGGCTTTCCCCCTTTTCCTCTCTGTTGAGGCTATAGGCAGAGCAGGCCAGATATTAAATGGTGCGATCGCTAAAGCCAGGGGCACAAGCCAGCCAGCTCAAAGACAGGTGCTAGGCTGTATGTCAGTTTAACCACAAGCCACCACAGATGGACTCGCTGCTATACTTAGCCTTTTTTTTTGACCGAATAATAGCTTTCATTAATAATAAAGGGAGTGAGCAGGAAACCTGGGATGATATCCTGACTTTTCTGCCTGCGGAGACACACTCACAGAGGACCGACACTGGCTCAAGTGCAAACGCCTCCTCCTCGTTCTCCAGCAGAATGGTCTCACTGACAGCAGCATGTTCTTCGGCAGCCTCAGATCCTGTCTCCTGGTGCTCTGCTGCTAACATTTCACAAACAACCGTTTCCGTAAGACACAGTGGAATTGAAGCTAGAGTGACATGAATATTTCTCTTTCTTAATTGCTTTATTGTAAATTGCATTAGACTGTATGTTTCAGCATTAAAACCATTGTGCTAAAAGACACAGTCCCATAATAAAGTCTTTAGCATAAATGTCTTGTTTTACATTTCACAGGTTTAAATGGGCTCTATTCTAAATAAAGAATAGTCCACAGACACTGGATGTCTTTTCCTGTTTTCCTCTGGCTCACTTATTCCAGAGCCAGCTGGGTTCTTGTACCTGCCAACTAATAAAAGGTAACGTGTGCGAGTTTTACCTTCAGCAGAGGCCACCCAAGGCTAAAAGGAGAATCTTAGGAGCTTTTTAAAGCAGGCTTTGTGCAGTGAGTGCAGGACAGTGTGTGTGTTATGCAAGAAGCGCACAGGGCAGCAAAGGCCAGGAGTTGAGAAGAATGTAAAAGGAAAAACAGCTTCCGGGATGCTGTCACATCTCCCATTCAGCTGTATCCTTTAACAATGCACCTTATCTGTACAACTCGCTTGAAATTCCCTCGCAAAAATATATACATTTTTTTTTTGTCTGTGTATAAATTTAACCTTCTTTCGGCTCAGCAGTCGGAGGTGGAGCTGCTGGAACTTCATTGTTCAAGCCAACTGGGAAAACGTCCATGGGCATGTCATCCTCATTTGAATTCTCCATCAAATCTACAGGAATAACAACAACCCAAAACAGGTCACGATCTTTCTAAAACAAAATCACAGTTTTCAACCTTCCTTAAACTAGGGACCCCCAAATTAAAAAAAAAACACAAGAGACCACTACCACTAAAGAGTGATCGCTTAGGTAATTAGGAATTTAGGACTGTAGGGAAGCTTTCCTTCACATACAGACGATAAATGTACAGAAAACATTTCTCATTAGAATGACAGCTACCCAGAAGGGTGAAGTCAGTGTCCTCATCCCCAAAGCCATCGCATCTGGGAGCCAAGCTGTGGAAACTTCCACCAAGTATGCTGCCTTCATGAAAATTAACCTCATCCCCTGCCCAGCAGTTAAGTACAAAACAAACACAGATTCTAAGTGAGAAAGAATAGGTGGGTCAAGCAATAAAAGATCCATCAATATCATCTAATTCAAACATTTGAAATCATGGGAAAACACTATTATTAAAACTAAAAGTAAAAAGCATGCCAAATTAAATAGCTCTTACTTAACAATCCTGTTTCTTACCAAAATCAGACTGCAGTACATGGAAGCTACTTCCATAGTCCTCTTTCAGGGTAATGTCCTCTGTCTTGCACTGGTTGAGTGTGAAATGATCTGCAAAGTCTATATCACTGATAGAAGTGGGACAAATAAGCTGCTCTCGCTTTCTAAGAGGACAAAAGCAAACACCACAAGCGATCCCTCCATGTTATTCAAGCTTAGAATCCAGTTACAGCTGAAATAATATGTACCAGAAAGGCCCAGGAGACCACGTGACATAGATACTGGTTGAAACTTAAAATTAAAAATCAAGCCATTTTAGATAGAAACATTCTCAGTGTTGGCCAGCTTTACTCTGGATATACTGGCTTTCTTCCATCCCAAATGGATCCAGGTAGGTGAACTGATGTTTCTGAATTCACCCATAGTTTGTGTGAATGAATGTGCCTTTTAATAGATAGGCATTCTATGCATCCTCATGCCCGATGCCTCTTGGACTATGACTCCAAACTCCCCAGAGAACCCTGTACTGGATAAAAGCTTGGAAGATGGACAGATCTACAGAGCAACTGAACAATAACTAATAATTTAGCTGATTCCCACAGGAGTGTCTTAAAGTATTAAGGTGAAATGTATGGAATGTATTAAACAAGATCATAAGGTGTGTGAAGTATGCAGAATATGTGAAGAGTGAGCACCTGATATTGGGCAGCTGTAACTCAAAATCGGTGAAATCCTCTGGCAAGGTTATGGCTTTAAATGAAGCTTCCAGACTCTCACTGGGTAAATCTGTCTGCCCTGTGATGTGGATGGAAACATCATCCATGTAAAATGACATTCAATGATTCTGAGGGGTTTCTAATGGCTGCGAGCTCTTCAGCTTTGATTATATTTCAATGTGTCAATATAAAGTACACAAATAAAAAAAATACCCCCCTCCAAAATGTAAGCTCAGAAAAGAAATATATTTCAAGCACAGTAGCTGCGCCTTTATAATACATGGACTCCATAGGTTTTGAAAGTACTTTCCAACCTACATGTGCCATTTCCAGTTTGGAAGAGATGTTTTCATGTACACCTCACATAAAGGAAAAGGCCATATCTACACAGTAATTAACCAAAACTGCTTAATTGAAATATATAGCTGTTTGAAACATGATTTGAACAATCCCAGAGAAAACATCTAACAACCAAATGTAATTAGACATTTTTAACCACATTGTTATATCAAAAAGTTTTATATTTTGCTACAAGTAATGCATTTATTAAGTTCACTTCCACCAGATAAGATATAAAACCTGGACGAAAGGCCACTTTGATTTTCACGACAGCATCTGTGCAGTCAGATAGGAGGTACTTTGCCTTCCGAAAGTATATCCGTACCACACCCAGAAGTAGGTGACTAGATATCCTGAGGCCAATTATAACCTGTCAAAATAATGCAAAATATCACAAAAAGATTAAAGAAATTATAGCTAATTACCAATTACACAAATAAAGAAATAAAGAATGTTATGGTGTTATAACATATCTTTTCTCTAGTTAATTGGTTATTTATTGCCAACAGCAACCTCAGGGGAAATGATGTCTTTGACGGTCGCCTCCAGGTTGCACTCAAAGACGTGCATTTTCGTGATCTTCTTCTCCCAGTGTGCTGCCAGCCAAATCCTGGCCAGAGGCCCACGTTTCAAAGTGAAAAGCTGCGTGTAAAACATTTCCCAAGTACTTCTGGAAGAGGCCTCTGCCTAACCTGCTCTACTTCTCCACTCCTGCAAGCAGGAAGAGACGGAGAAGATTGAGCAGCGGCTGCAACATACAGCAACGGCAGATGGCACCACAATCCAGGTACCAACCGAAAAGGATCTCAGAATAGAAACGAACTTTTCCCTTAATCATTATTCAACATGCTGCCAGTAACGTTACATTTGTTCAGAAATGATGAATTTGTGGGTTAAGAAAAAGGCAGGTATTAATTTAACCAGTAACATGTTTAACCACATTTCGGTTCGATCTTTACTATCAAGTCAAGGAGGCGTGTCTTATTGTAAGTAGTTAACCTTACTTGCTACTGCTTTCTCATTTGTCACTATTCCGTCTCAGCCTTTTTGTTCGTGTTTTCTGTAATAAGGATTAGTCACTGACAGCCTGACAGATAATCTCCTGATAAGCAGCAATCAGAAGTGTAGTTTTCTAGCTGCCAGGTCGCTGGTTTAAAACGATAACTTTACCAGTCTCCGAGATGACCTGATTATCGTTATACGTGAATTCATCAATTTATGCTTTCGCTCCCAAGCCTGTATAATTAGCTAGTCGAAATCATGTACTAATACAGCGTTCAGCGCTTTTGACACCTTTATCTATATATTTATGTATAACTGCTCAATAATTATATACATATATATTAGAAGCACACTCACGTACCCCTCTGAGGAGAAAAAAAGTGAAGGCGCGAGAGCAGCTAGGAATCGCCCGCTCATCCTCGAGACACCATGTCCCGCTGACAGAGCTGTGCTGCGTCTCGAGCAGACTGTTATTTCTCATATCTGCCGTACACTTATGGGTGTAACCCACCAATAATCTAAACTAGCCAATACAACTCCATGGACCCCCTTAAATGAGTGAAGACTTCAAATGCCAAATCCGAAGTTATGCCCTTGCGTACACTCGCGCCGACGAGTGTCTGGCAGGCGGGCGGACTTGACTTTGCCGCGGTGGTCAGCAACAAGCGTTTGCAGCGTATAACAGCTCATTGACTTTTAAATGCGTTAACGGAGCTATTCTGAATCGCATAATCGCTTGTCCTATCAGTGAGACAGAAAGCATCGAGGTGAGGAAATGTAAGCAGGAAGGACAAGACAAATTCCTCCTAACCTACTACGGAGCACTGCGGTGCGTGTTCTTAAATCAGAAACTATAGTCTAGAAAACTATTGACGAGACAAATAAATGACCTATGTTCTCCTTCAGGGCTCGTCGTCTAGCTACATGTCACAGTTTATCAGTTTTATATGGGTTAAATGAAGCCTTCGTGAAGTGAAACAGTGATAAACGTCTACTAAATATGCAAACGCAATTTAATATTTCTGTTGCACGTTTGCATTGAAGGAACTACGTCTTTCCCCCCTACAAATCGAAGTAAAGAGCGGTGCGCGCTCCCGACAGGGGGTGCATTTTACGGCAGTGGTGCAGAATTCGGCACAACACCTGTTTTAAACGGGACCAAAGATTATTTGCCTTAAAAGGTAGGCTGAAAAGGTAGTATAGCTGAGTAAATTGTACTGTGAAAAGTATTAGTCTGACAATATACTGTGATTTGATAAGTGTACTGTGCATTTATGAGGTTGACCAATTTTCAGAGGGTTAGAAACTATTTATAAACTGGTTGGTTGCAGTCCCGATATCTTCAGCCAGACCTCAGTTTGGAGAAGAGTCTATGACTCAGATGAGTCAGGTCATGTAGGATTGTGCTGTTTCAGCATCGGCAATTTCATTTGGACTATCTGGTTAGACTATTATTTGGACGATGGTTGGAGCGCCAATCCTACCACCAATCCCCAAACTTTCCTTGTAAGTTGGAGGACCTCATTGCAGGGCTGAATGTAGAGCAGGGGTCTCCAACTCCGGTCCTGGAGAGCTACTATCCAGTAGGCTTTCTGTCCCACTTGGCTTCTGATGAGCCACAACTATTCCTGGTATTTACCTGAGAACAGGTGAGGCTCATCAGAAGCCGGGTATGATAGAAAACCTACTGGACAGTAGCTCTCCAGGACCCATTGGATGACAAATGGGTTTTGCATGCTTTGAATCTCATATTTGATACCCAAAGACACAGGAAATGGGGAAAGGCAGCAATACAGTTACTAGAGACCAACTATAAAGAACAGAAATTTGCAACAGACACGTATGGCTTTATTTGAAACTATCTAGGGGTGCCAATAATTTTGAAACCTGTTTTACTGCTTTTACTGCTAAACCTTTATTTGAAAAATGATACACAACTATCCCAAATGGTTGATCAGAACATTTGAAATAAAATATGTGTTGTACAAATACAGTAACAGCCTCAAAACCTATAAAGATCATACATTTATTTCAGTATTTCTTAGTATTTATAATGTTAACTTCAGCCTTTAAAATCAAAACTATATGGTCAAAGGTGTTGAGACACACCTCTCAATCATTGAATTAAGGTGTTTCATTCAGACCCATTGTAACAGGTGTATAAAGTCAAGCACCTAGCCCTGCAGTCAAGTTTAGAAACATTTCTGAAAGAATTGGTTGTTTTGAAGACCTCAGTGAATTCAAGCGTAGTATAATCATGGAATGCTACCTTTCCAATAAGTCAGTTTGTGCAATTTCTTCCCTGCTGGGTATTCCATGGTCAACAGTAAGTAGTATTATTGGAAAGTAGAAACGCAACTATGAAGTGGCAGACCACATAAAATAAGAGCAGGGTCACTGAGTGCTGAGGTGCATAGTGTGTAAAAGTTGCCAATGCTTTGTTGACTCATTAACTGCAGAGTTCCAAACTTCCTCTGGCATTTACCCCAGAACAGATACTGTGTGCCAAGAGCTTCATGGAATGGGCATCCATGGCTGAGCAACTGCATGCAAACCTCGCAACACTAAACGCAATGCCAAGTGTCAGATGGTATAAAGCACGCCGACACTGGCCAGAGGAGCAGTGGAAACGTGTCCTGTGGAGTGACAAATCACGCTTCTCTGTGTGACAGTCTGATGGACTAGTCTGGGTTTGGTGAATGCCAGGAAAACTTTACCTGCCTGACTGCATTGTGCCAAATGTAAAGTTTGGTGGAGGAGGGATAATAATATGGGGTTCTTTTCAAGGGTTGGGCTAAGTCCCTTAGTTCCAGTGAAGGTAACTCTTAATGCTTCAGCATGTCAAGACATTTTAGACAATTCTATGCTTCCTGGGAAAAGTGTAGGGAAGGCCCTTTTCTGTTCCAGCATAACGGTGTCCTAGGTCCATAAAGACAGGGTTGGGTGAGTTTGGGGTGGAAGAACTTGACTGGCCCATACAGAGCCCTGATCTCAACTACATTAAACACCTTTGCTATGAATTGGAATGGAGATTGTGAGCCAGGCCTTCACATCCAACATCAGTGCCTGACCTCCCAAATACTCTCCTGGATGAATGGGCAGCAATTCCCACAGACACACTCCATAAACTTGTGGAAAGCCTTCCCGGAAGTGTGGCAACTGTTATAGCTGCAGAGGGGGCACTAACTCCATATTGATGCCTATGGATTTATAATGCGGTGTCATAGAAGTTCCTGTAGGTGTCCATATAGTCTGTCTGTCTAACACACTGCTGTTTCAGGCTTTGCATTTACTGCTTTAAAAATGTCAGAAATTAGACAATCAGGAAGAATTACAATTATTATTGAAATTTATTCTAAATGGTTTTTACTGTATTGTAACAGACACTTGATCTATATATATTTCCATCACCTAATATTTTCTCATGTAAGAGAGCACCGTTAGCCCATGTTAGAACATACTTGGTCCATCTCCATGTTAACTGACATATTCTCCAATAAGAACATGTCTAATGTAGCACATTTTCTTCCAAATGAATAGTATACACTCCCTTCTTACCTGTGTTTGCATGTCTCATGGGAGAATAACATGGTACATGCGAAAGCTAAAGAATTCCTTTGTACCTCTATTCGTACTTATACAAAACTTATACAATTTATACTTGTAAAACAGCCAAATAAAGTATAATTACTGTTATCATTACAATGAGCTGTATAGCGTGGAACTATGGGAAGTACCATTTCCACAAAAGCCAGCCATTGCTCTGCTTTGTGGGAGGGGTCATTTTTCAGTTCTATGAATTAGTTCCTTATAATTAAGCAATTTGAAGAACATTTTGTGCTGGAGAAATGTGATACATCCTTTAAGGACACGTGCCACTGCATTTATGCCAAGGATCTGCTGAGATTTGGATCTGTATATATTAGCATTTTTGAGAATGGCTTCTTTGTGCTGAGGTTTCTTTTAGTTTGTCATACTGTTCATGATTGCTGACACGCTAAAACTATGGCGTATGTGTGTGATAGTAGTACTTTATCAATCCCAGTGGGGAAATTCTCTTATCATTTCCATTTTGCTCTCCATGAGACACACAGACACATGCATATGCACGTAGAACCCTTAGAGCTGGGGGTTAAGCGCTTTGCTCAAGAGCCCAGAGACATGTGACTCTTCTGCAAACACTTGAACCGGCACCCTTCTGGTTACTGACACAGAGTCTGCTGAGCTACACATCATCAATGTAAGTATGTTCTTCATCTACAAACATCATGCACTAAGAAAAACAATCCTGAGCATGTTTATTTTTCCACAAATTGCAATTTCGGTTCACTTTTTTGCAGATTGCTCAGTTTCTATTCATTAAGGACAACTGAAAAAGTTACTACTTCAAATGGTGAGCTCCAAATAAAGACCAACTTTCCACATGCAAAAAAAAAAGAAAACTAAAATGCTTAACTATTCCAACATAAATCATAATATCAGCAAGAAGGAACAGGCCTCAGGTGAGGACTTCTGTGTTTGGAGATAGTGAGGGAAGTAGAGAAAAGGTGAGTAAGAATGAGAAAGTAAGGAGGACAGGAGGAAGAGAAAAATGGGAGGGGCACTGAGAGATGTGTTTGTTCACTGTTGACCATAAGGAATGTAAATCACTGCTGGATTCAGGCTTAGACACAGTAGGCAACTGCCTAGAAGCTCATCGGGGGCCTAGACAAAGGCATTAAAGAATATATGTATAGTATGTTCATACATATTTATAAAAAGAATAATTACACAATTTTTTAAATAATGAAAAAGAACTATATACATCACATCAAGATGTTTATGTGCAGGCAGAAACATGGCTGGCTCTAGCTATAGGCAGAATTTGCAGGTGCCTGGGGCCCCTGAATTGCCTGCTTGTGGAGCTTTGCATAGGGTCCCTGAATTGCCTGCTTGTGGAGCTTTGCCTAGGGCCCCTGAATTGCCTGCTTGTGGAGCTTTGCCTAGGGCCCCTGAATTGCCTGCTTGTGGAGCTTTGCCTATGGCCCCTGAATTGCCTGCTTGTGGAGCTTTGCTTAGGGTCCCTGAAAAGGTAGATCCAGTTAACAAGCTCCTTTCTCGAAGTACTAGGCTCAGTTTAATTTTTCACTGAAACACCATGAATACAGTCACCCCGTTACAGTCTGAAGCCTACGTGTAACCTACTGTATCTTGGATGCATATGGTGCACTTGTTTGTTTGTTGTTTTAATGCATGTTCTTGTTATATTGCAACATATAACAAGAATATCCACAGTAATGAAAGTTTGTTTCCTTCTTTTGCAATAAAACAATTCCCGATCGTCAGGGACTTGGGCAGCTCGGGCACGGGAGCGAGGCATCAGGCAGGCACAAAAAAGGGTGGACGACCCACTAGCGGCTCCAGGAACATAAAAGGGGTTTATTAAATAAAACAGATAAACACTACAAAACCAAAAAGGACCACGAGGGCTCAAAACCTGAAGGGGATTAAACTAAGACTACAACACAAAAACCAAATACACATCAAACACTGAAAATAGCGAAACCATTGAACATCGCAAACATCAACACACAGACAACAATGAACCGCTAGGGAATTGAACAGAAGCAGGAACTAAAATACTAAGTGGTAACGAGACTAACACAGGACAGGTGAGGCTGATTAACAAAGACCAGGGAAATGGGGTACAGGTGAAACTAATACTCAAAGGAACTAAACAGGGAAACTAATAACTAACCAAGGAAACAGAAACCAACACTAGGGAATTTAAACAGGTAAAGCCACAAGCAGAGGGCACAAGGAACAAAACCAAAAACCATATACAAAATCACCAAATACAATAACTAGACAAACTCAACTGAAACACTAGGGAGCAAAATACAAAAACAGGAGGTGGGATTCAAACACAGGACAGACAGTACAAAGACAACCGGACGCTCAAGGTGTTGAGCCATGAGGCCAACAGAATAAGGGAAACTCAAAGACAAACATGAAGGACGGGATGACCAGCAATGCCTGCTGGCCAAACGGGGAAGGGACACAGAGTGACAACAGGGGCTGACCCTGACACCGACCCCAAGATGCATGCAGTTTTGCACTGAACATTAACTGGTGATTTTCCAGCTACCCTAAATTTATGTTCAATCCCAGTAACTGGTATGGCACATAAACACAAGCGCACGGTATACAGAACTGATGATATTTTAAAAGGTTTAACACCACAAAATACAGTTATGGGTATATATATGGATATTTCATAACAAAGATAAAAAAAGTCACATACTATTGTAGGCTTTACGGTAGATCCATCTGCATCATAACTTTCCCCGTCACAGTTTCAATAGCATAAGAAATTAAACAGGATTTTTTTTGGGAGTTTTGTGAAAGCCACAGATGACACATGAAGGCCACCAGATGACACAAAAATGTTTAGTAACACATGAACTCATAAAATATATGTACAGTGCTGATTCAAAAGAGGAGGTGGCATGGTAGCACAGTGCTTAGCACTGTCATCTCACACCTCTGGAACCAGGGTTCCAGCATCCACCACAGCTCCATGGGAGTGGAGTTTGCATGTTCTCCCCTTGTCATCATGCCCATAGGAGTGAATGTGTGAGTGACTGAGTGTGCCCTGCAAATGGGCTGGCATCCCACTCTGAGTCATCCCCTGCCTTGCACCCATAGGCTCTGGATCCCTCACAATCCTGAATAGGATAAGCAGTTATAGAAGATGGGTGGTTTAGGAGGACAACAAGCTTGTTTACAGCATCCTCTCCTGTGATATCTCACGTTTCTTGTATCGCTTTGCTTCACTCTGCTCACATGCTTGCTTTGCTAGCCGTGGGGACAAAGAGGACTTTCAAGATCATGGGGGGGGCTGTGCCCCTAACCCCCATGAGGGGGAAGGGTCAATTGTAGTGTGGTCTTATAGTGAGCCTATGCTTTACACCAGGGGCAGGCAATCCGAATCCTGGGGTGCCAGTATCCAGCAGGTTTTCTGTCCTGCCTGATGAGTTAATATCAGCCTGAGATGAGGTTTGGTTCATCAGAGACCAGGAAGGATATAAAACCTGCCGGATACTGGCAATCTAGGATCAGGGTTGCATACCCCTGCTTTATACAGTTAGTGAGGGATTGATTCAACTTCAGACACTTCCTGTGTGTATTATGGTTTCTGATAGTATGCAATGCTCCACCTCTTTTCCAAAACTGACGTGTTAAGAACAAAAAAAAAAAAAAAAAGATTTATTCAGCTCAGGCGCCCTTGATGCTGAATGTGTGGTTGCTGCTGATGCTATTGGAGAACCTGGGTCGGACCTGTTGCTGGTCTTGCTGTTCCTGCAGCTTCTCATCCCCGCAGAAGCAGTGGAGTGTGGAGAAGAAAAATTTCCGATAGTTGGCAGACACCAGGTTGTAGAGCACAGGGTTGATGGCCGAGCTGATGTAGAACAGCACGTTGGTAACCATGTAGAAATAGTGGTAGAAGTCAAACATTACTCTGTAGAGACAGCAAGAAATGGTTAATTATTCTGTCAGTGCTTACTTTTTAACTCAATTAGGTTGCATTTTCAATATGTACACCTCACTGCTTCTAGTGTAACTCTAGTGGAAAAACATGTAACCCAGATCACCATCACTCTGTCCATTCAGTTAGTGATGGCACATGGACCAAAGTTATTTATTCTTATTTATTCATTATGGGGCAGTTGGTGGGCCATCAAATTACATGGGGTCCAGATGCAAATGACACTCACTCTGTCCACTCTGTCACATAGCAGTACATCAACCGCCGAGAGTGGTAGGGCAGCCAGCACACCACAAAGGCGAGGACCACCGCGCCTGGCAGATGTGCCCCCCGAAAGCATGGGAGAAGGCAGGGGGGGCGAGACAATAGAGCGAAAGCAACAAGGCAAATTTAGATGGTGAGATGGAAGAAAGAACAGTAGAAATAGTAGCCATGCAAAGTTAGCGAAGATTCCGAAGCATTACGAAGACATGTTTGCAGAATTAGAATGGTATTTCCTTATGGTGTGCTTGGATGTTTTTGAAACAATAACATTCATTTTGATGTTCCAGCCCATTGGAAATATATTTACTACTAACATTTAGATACTGCTCAAGCAAACAATTAGGCATCATGGCAATGAGCTAATTGTGACATTAGGCTTAAGTATAATTAAGTTAAAGAAAGAAGCCAGGAAGACATGCTTGGAAACCTAACTAACTATTGATGGTATCATTATAGTACCATTCACCCATCCATCCATCCATGTTGCATCCGCTTATCTTGGTCACGATTATGGGGGGGTGTAGGGTCTATTCCAGGTATACCTTGCCCATCACAGGACCATTATAGCATCAAAACCAAGAAATTAACAACCTTGCCAGAGTGATCCTGTTGAGTTTTACTTCTCTGTTTCTCTTCTGGGCAGCTGTTGTGAGCCTGGTTACTGACATGGTCGTGGACATATGCTTTAGTGCAGAACTGTGAGCTCACGTTTTTGCCTAAATCAGAAGGTGGTTCCCTCATTTCCACGATTGAATGCAACTCCTCTTCATTAAGGAAAACCCAAACGATGTTTGCCAAATAATAAGCTGAAGTATGTGAAGTATGTTTCAGTGTGTTTGTGGACACTGAAAATCATATTTGGCCAACCAGGAACCAGCTTCCTTAAGGATAGTGATGAGGTAATATGCTATAAAATGTGCTATTTTTATAAAGAAAGTCTATCCATCTCCCATCAAATTGCTTATCCAGTACAGGGTTGCAGAGGAGCCTGGAGTCTAACACAGGCTGCATAAAGGATAAAGGATAATATCTCAGTATAGTACAAACTACATTTTTGTAGTCACAATATAAAACTACATATATAAATATAAATTTGCCTCAGTTCCAAATGACGACATGCAGGGGCGCCGTAAGGGGGAGGAAAGCTAGGACGATTCCAAGGGCCCCTGAGTGACAGGGGCCCTAAAAATTAGGAAAATAACTGGATTGGTTTGGACTGGGGGGCCTAATATGATATGCTTTCATGGGGCCCAAAATCTCTAGCAACGCCCCTGACGACATGCATAATGAACAATGAGTATCCTTGCATTTCCCTCATCAATAGTCTATGCTTTAGGTAAAGTTGACCTTATACTTAATCTTCGTACTTACCATTTTCTTTTCAAATAATTTTAAGTAATTCTTGTTGCTTCATTTAACACTCTTTGTTAACACTTTGTTCATGGTCCACAATGTTCTTTGCACTTGATTTTTTCCCTCAACTCCTTGCCACCAATATGCCCCTTTTCAAAATTATACACATTCTCTTTTCAAAAAACCCATGTCAGAGGTCTGAGTGTGACTATGCCACAGCTTTGTACTCCCGGCCTTTTAAAGGCGGGAGTGAAACATCCCTCATAGTCAGAACATCATGCTAAGACACATCCACTTACTGTGGAAACATCAAAGGTTTTCAAACCACATTAAAATTCACCAATTGCCTTGAAAAAGTAGATCAAGCAACTGAAACATGGAAATATAAAAATACTTTCAATGGCTCTATGATTGAGTCAATACTGTATGTATGAAGCACAGACCATCTTTATTTTTTCCATCCTCCAGACTACTTCACTTAAAATCAAATATCTAAAAACATTTTGTCAGAAAACTATTTTGAAATGCTTTGCAACAGTATTTTTTTCAGACTGAGCCGTACTGATGTCAGCCGCAACAATAATAAAGTTGTGCACAGGTATGGTTATTGGTCCTACACAAAAGATCACACAACTGCAGACTTCTGCACTTGCAGTTCTCGCCACTAGTTCACATTATTTATATAAATTTAGAGAGATAAACAGTTATGCCAGAACTGTCAGCATTAACGTGTGTTATGGCAACATTCATTCTGTGTGTATACCGTTGTCATAAGAGTATTTTTGTTTGCATATTTGGTGTCTGACCATATTAAGGAGTGCCTTATGGCAAGCTGCCCTACTCACGCAGCACCTTGACCCCATGCCGCAGCGACCGCACGCGGCTCGTTTCCATGGCCATGCCTGGTTCTGGCTCGGAACCCTTAATAAAATACGCGCGGCAGTTCGGCTGAAACATCTGCTGCAGCTGCCTGGCGATGGCTGTGTTCAGCACCGAAATGATCACCATAGGGGCTGCAAAGGACAGCAGGGCGTTGACCTGCAGGGGGCGAGAAGAGCAGACCACGGGACCCGTAGCAGATATCAGCTGCTGGAATGTAAACTCTGCTTTCATTCTGATGGTATCTCCATCCCGCACCAGATCTTCTTTGTGTCAGACACAAAAAATCCATGCTACGTTTTCTCTGCAGTTTTCCTTCAGCAGTATAATATATTTTTAAGAAGGCATTTTATTGGTCCATTGGCCTACTTCTAACACCAAAATGCATGGGTTTACCCAAACTGATCAAAATCAATATATCAGTAAAATAAAGAGCGCACACCTTCTCTTTTTGATTCGGCTACATGTCACCCCACCCAGTCCTCCTCAGACTGGGCCATTCCCTTCAATTCATTCACCTCTGTTCATTCACTCTGGGCATATTCTCAGACATTTGGGTCCTTGGGACCTTTTACCCCTAAGGATTCAATAACTAGATGACACTAGATAGCACTGACTGCTCCTGGGCAGGTAGGCCGGTCCGTTTTCAATTCACTCTACTTTAAATTAATTAAAATGAAAACTAAAGATGCCACATTGACATAACTAAAATCATACAGTATAGTGCAAAAGTCTTGGCAACAAAAAATATTAAATTATCTTCATATTAGTATAAAACTGTGTTATTATGCCTGCCAAAGTGTGTTAGCTTAGCCTTTTCAAAACCTCCGCTAAAATCACTCCATTATTTCCACCCATGTATTTTTTGACTTGACCAGTAGCACACCTCACATAGCTAATCAATATCTCATTGACTTTTTTTTTTAACTAATTGAGTTAATTAAGTGATCTGGTGGTGAAATTTAATAAATACATGGAATGGCTGAGGTGCCCATGAGGAGAGGTTTGGGAACTGAAGCGGTGTTCATCTAGCCATCCAACTAGATATCAGTAACTTTTTGGAGAACAGAAGAGATTCTTTTGAGTTTTTATCATGTTACTCTTCATCTGTGTATGTTCTAATGCTAAATTGTTTTTTTTTGTTCTGAGCAAAAGTGCACTTACTACCTAGATAAATAGCTTTAAACATTTCTCTCGGCTGCCTAAAACTTTTTTCCAAAAATCAAGCATTTTTCCAGTGCAGCATCATTGCTCACAAAGAACATAAGCATGCAAAATAAAAAGTACATTATGTTACTTGCCAGCTGCCACTTGATAATTCTGACAGGGATCTGATAGATTGATCCTGTTAAGTTTAATTAATAGCTTTCAGCCCCGCAATGAAATAAAATCACAATAATGTCAGGTTTGATGGGCAGGTTTTTATTCTTCTGCATGTATTATGTGTTCAATGCACAATCTCTCTGCGCTTACAGATTACATTGTGCTCATGCTTTGTTAATTAATTTGAAGCTGGAAAAAACATTAACAGTCAGCCCATACCTCCATTAGCATGTGCCTTGTGCTTCAGCCGGCTTTTTATCGCAGCCCTAGGATGGCTGCACACGCAGATCACAGGCACAGCAACAGAAGCCCATTTGCTCTCCTTGCAAACATCCTTTTCACCCCTTGAACAATACATCAGTTCTAATACGGGCTTCTGGAAACTTCTCGTGACCATTTCCCCCTTTTATATGCTAATGCTAAAGCAATAAGTAAAAAACAATGAAACAAAAAAGAGAAGATTAGTTTTGAAAGATTTCCCAAAGGATCAACACTCCAGAATGTCATTGTCTGGTGCACAGGGAGTTCTGTGGAAAAAGACTGCTGCTTGCTGCTCTTCCAATCTGAACACGATGTACCATCAAAAAAGAGCTTTAAACTTGCACTACTCGAGTAAAATTGAGCCACACAAGAAAGGTAAACTGTGTCGTTACAATAACAGCATTTTCTAAACCCACTAAAATATTATCATTAGATTTAGTGGTGGACTAACTTCTATGGTGGCCCTATGCTGATATGGGTAGGGGGGGCCCTAAGTGGGCTGTTCAAGCTATTTTCTGGAGCCAAAAGAGAAATGAGAGGGAGTTTAAAAAAACTATGGAATATCAATAATATGTTAATCAAAGCACGGGGTGCTAGTGGCAAACATACTGGTCAGGGTGGGCTGGGACTGCTGCAGATCAGAGGGTGTATCGAGGGATTTCACACTGGCAGGTCTAGCCGCCAAATGTAATTATATTATAGTATCGGCGAGTTGCCTCTCACTAGTGAGAGCTAATTTACATGTCCCCAGTGCATTTTGGGTGTGTGTTGTAAGTAGTCCCTGCACGGTGTCACTCGTGATGACTGTGCCATGTCCCGTGTGTCACGTTTTCCCCGCTTGTAATGTCACGGGTAACAACTCGTGTTTGGAATGTCAGCATAGTGACTAGTGTACATACCGTGTGCGCGACCTGTCATGTGCCATGGGACCTCCCTGTGTTTCAAAGTGAGGAGAAGATGGTGGGTTGCTGTTCTCTTGTCAACTGTGAGAGTCCTTCTAAGGGTTATCAATAGAAGAGCCTCCTGTGTCAAGCTGCTGGTTCCCTTCTTACCTGCGTCTTGGGGGCCCTAGAATGTACCCAGGGTGGTTTGCCCTTATCCAGGGTGGCCGCGGATCCTTAAAAAGTCTTAAATTCCGTTGTCCTAAAATAAGGCCTTTAAATGTTTTAATTTGTCTTAAATCTAAA